ATTCTCCTCTCTCCTTGTCCCACCTACTTCCTGCCTGGCCACTGGCCAATCAGTGTTTTATTTATTGACCAATCAGAGCAATTTGACATATAGACCGTCCCACAGCACAGTAGTGTTGTTTAAGTGACTCTGTTACTTCACTCTGTAGTTTCTGTTCTGCTGAGGCAGGGTATCATTCACACCATGACCCAACCTGGCCTGGAACTCATAGCTATTCTCCTGCCTCAGCCTGCTGGGCACTCCAGTTACAGGCACACACCACATTCCAGGCTGTATTTTTCCATTGTGGCTTCTTTTTTTCTTAACCTAGGTTTTCCATGATGACGATGCCATCCCTGGATGGGAGGGGAAAATTGTGGCCTGGGTGGAAGAAGACCACAGAGAGAATTAACCGGACCCCGGACACTCCCTGGCTGCTTCTCTCAGGAAAGACGACTAACACCAGAGTACGCTGAGGAGTTTCTAATTCCTGCTGCCAAAAAGAAGCTTCTTCAAGTATGATGGTTATGGGCCAGTCCTGTTGGTGTGCCTGGTATATCTAGTACTTAAAGTCTCTGTCCAAACACAGACCATGGGTCCATCTGGAGCTCCTTGTCCGTGGGAACAGTGTTTTATTCTACTCTGAGGACACCAAACCGAAGGCCTTAACCACCAGGAGTGGATGATCCCTCTCTTGTAGGGGCCTGGCTGCTATTATCTGGAACCTGGAAGTGGATGCATCTCTCCTTTATGGTACAGTGTTCATTCCATTGGCCTCAAAGGTTGCAGCAATCAGAGTCCCAGCATCTGTGCTCACAGACAAGGCAAAGGTACCGACTTTTCTGCTTCTCTGCAGACGTTGCAGCCCAGGAGTAACTCAAGTGGTACCAAAGATGAAAGCCCACTTGCATCTGTTGACCTTGGACATGGATGATGCTGACTTGTTGATTGGGTGGGGAGAGGGTTGCCCATAGTGTGCTATACTATGCCAAAACCATAATGAAGACCTTGGACCGCCTCTTCTGGTTCCGACTCTTCTGCAGCTTGTCCTTCGCCCATTTGGGCATTTTTTCCCCCACGAACTGCTGGTTTCCCCTGGGGACTCTTTAACTTCAGAGCCATTTCTTCCTCTCCACACAGATGAACTTTGTGCTTGAAAAGAATTAGAAGCGAGAGGCTCCTGGAGCATTCAGGAGGGGACGGAAAGGTGCTGCTACCACTTCTCTGTGACAAACGCACAGCATCTCCTTTGCATTTGCAAGGAGACAGACCATTAATTTGTGTTCGTGATTTGAGCACCAGCATAATTTACTGGTCTGTTTCTGATTTCAAGACTGGAGTTGTTTTCTGTTACATGCTTAGTCTGGGCTGTTCCTTTAGGGCACAATGGAACCCACGGGGCATGGAGCATGAGTTGTGAATGGCAGGGTTGAATCAAGGTCAAGAGTCATTTCACATTGCAACACTGTCCAGTTTCCAGAGGTTACTCAATAACTTGGGTTTTCTCATTCACACATCTAGCACCATCCACCTATCAGCCATGATTATTTATAGAAGTCCCTCAAAGCGGTCTGCAACCACCCCTGTACACTGCCAAACAGAAGAGTGGGACAGATGGGTCGGTCAGTCCTGGGATCTGCCTGTCTCTGTTTGTCACTCATTGTCAGCCATTTGAACAGACTACTCTTGGGAACGCTGAGATAACATCTTATTGTTTTATATAGACATGTCTTTTAAAAATAGTTCATGTTTGAGAATTGTTTGGTGCTCATTTGCTTTTGCCTGAGAACCATGTCTATTTTTATAACTCGTGTGACTTCTGTGTATTCTCACATTCCCTGTACCCCGCCCATTTTCTAGAGTGCCCAATAGCTTTTCTACGGTCTCTTCTTACCGCCTCTTGTGGTTTCAGAACAAGCTTTATTTTGTTACGAGTATACTAATGGCAGTCGATTCCTGTCCAGTTCTCCCTGCTGTTTTACTGCTAGAGGGGTTTTTGTTTTGTTTTGTTTTTTTAAATCTAGTTGATTGCTCTTCTAAAAGAGATCAAGGACCTTTCAAAAAGAAAGTCTTTCATGCACACTACCCTGGTCTTCTATTGAAGAACAATTTTTCATCAGCTGTAACTAGGAAAGTTCAGGAAAGTCAGCCATAGGCAAGAACAACTCATTGTGAACGCCAACAGAAGAAAACAGTATTATTTCCAATTTTTTCTCAAGATGACTGGAGGGATAAAAGTCCGTACGTCACCAATTTCTCTGTTGCATGAAATTTAATGTTTGCTATTTGACAGCATGAGGGTGACCAGGCTCAACTTCGTTACTGTAGTCCAGGTACGACTTACCTTGAATGTCTGTCTCCTAAACCAGATATCCCTTGTCCATTTTCTTTCAGCAAACAGTCGTAACATTATGTGGAATTAACTTTTCAGCAAAAATTAAATCAGAGAAAAAGCTTCGAAGTCCTCTATATTGTGTTTTATTTTTATCTCTTTTTGGAAAAGGAGCCACATGGTCTTAGTGCCTACATAAAAAGCAGAGGTCTAATGTAGGGGACAATGTAGCTCACTAATCTCATGTACCTTGGGCAAAATGGCCCAGCATCTTCACTGGAAGATATATTTATTAATTCCTGTACATTCTGGGCCAGGGATCCTCATTCCGGTCCATAACACTGGAGAGCAAGAGCAAGCATGAATTCCTTCTGTTTTGAATAATCTCCTGATTGGCTGTGCTCCAGGGCAGTGGTTCTCAATCTGTGGGTCATGACCCCTTTGGGGGTTGAATGACCCTTTCACATGGGCTCGCCTAAGACCATCAGAAAACAGATATTTACATTAAGATTCATGACAGTAGCAAAATTACAGTTATGAAGTAGCAAGGAAAATAATTTTGTTTGGGGGTCACAACAACATAAGGAAGTTATTAAAGGGTCATAGCATTAGGAAGGTTGAGAAGCACTGCTCTAAGAGAACTTGTGGATTAAAAAATATATTGTTCCCTAATGGTATTGGTGTGAGCCTGTCCATCCCGCCATTGCCGACATTCTTTCCTTGAGAAAAACTATATTTAAATGTTAGGGAGTCCTAAAATAATCTCTTAACCATGTTTTTAAAAAAATGTAAACTAGGCATAGTGGCTCAAGCCTTTAATCCCAGCACTGGGGGGGGGGGGGCTGAGGCAGGCGGATCTCTGGATCTCTGAGTTTGAGGCCACCCTGGACTACAGAGTCAGTTCCAGGACAGCCAGGACTACATAGTGAAACCCTGTCTTGAAAACAAAAAAACCAAAACAAATATACTCATGTGCAGAAATGTACCTACACACACACACACACACACACACACACACACACACACACACACACACACCCTGTATACACACAATTAAAAACAAAAATAAATCTTAAAAAAGACCCCATAAGTGCTAATTTAGTTATTTAAAAACTGAAGAGTACCCTCTTCTTGCTCAAGTCCCTAAAACATCTGGGTTGGAACACTTTACAGTTTGTAGCTAAACTTCCACCTGGTGATAGATACATGCCTGTAATTCCAGCATTTGGGAGGCTAAGGCAGGAGGATTACCAGGTTGATGTCAGCCTGGGCTACATAATGAGATCTGTGTTTGGATTAAAAGGAAGAAAGAAATGGAAGTATGGTTTAAATATATTTGGCAACAGCAATGCTCCTTACCAACTTTTCAGGTCTTTCGTCTGGGATGTAAATGGAAAAAGATCTTTATGTTTTACATCCAATTCAAGAGTACTCGATTACTGAAAAGCATTCTGGTTATAATTGAAATTTTCACTTTTAATCATAAGCATCGGTAACTGCACACTCTTTTTTGTTGAACTTGTTAAGAGGAATAGCTTGCTTAAACTACATATATATAAAGTTCTATTTTCTTAGAAACATGGAGGTTTGTAACCACTGCTTTCAGAGATTACTACCGTGTGTTCTGTTTTACAGTGTCTTCACAAAAACCTTGTTATGCCAGAGCTTTCTGATCATCAAAGTGGTAGCAGTTTTAACTGCCCGTATGTACCAGAATTGTGAACAAGTCAAAACCACATACACACACTACGAATAAAATGGAGTTTACAAACTAAATCCACTTCATCATTTTCATTTACGTCTCTTAACTGAGATCAGACAGTAAAGCCATTAGATTTAGTGAAGGTAAATTTCCTCAAGTGATCTCCCTGGTAGCATGTTTACTCATTATCAGGAAGGTGGAGATAAGGATTGTTTTATTGCTAGAGATATTTTACTGTTGGTATTTCTAACGTAAGCACAAGATAGGTTATTATAAAAAATGATTAGCTAGTTTTGCACCTATTTTGAAATCATATGTAAATGTACAGACACAGGAGAACCTGAGAGCATAAACTCTATGATAATATTAATCTTCAAAAGCAGTGTGAATCCTAATTAGTTCACAAGTGTTAGTTTCAGAAGACTGGATCCTGGTCCCTTGTGCAGGCTAAGCATGCTTTCTCCCACTGAGCCACTCAGGACTCCAGCCAGAAATACATATTTATCTATCTTTCTATTTTGAGACAGCATCTCACTATGTTATCCAAACTAATAGATTCAGATGATTAATCATTTTCCTTCAGCCTCTGGAGTAGCTAGGACTACAGGCATGGACTACCACCCCAGCCCAAAAATTAATGATTAAAAGAATCCGAGTTCACAAATCAATTTAAAGGCTGCCTCCCCCAAATTCAAGCAGGCTTCATTTATCACTAATGTTATTGATTTAAATGTTTGATATGTTTCGATCTTTAGCTCTGAGTGCTTTCTTTCATTGGCTTCTGATTACATACTTTTAACTTTGTTTTGTTGACTATGTAGACTTGGTTGGTCTGGAGCTTGCTATGTAGACTAGTCAGTCTGGCCTGGAAATCACAGAGATCCACTTACCTCTGTGTCTCAAGGGCTAGGATTTTAAAAAAACAAACAAAAAACTTTTTTTTTAAAGGTAGAGTGTAGGCAGGTAGCCCAGGCTGGCCACATGGCACCAGAACAGTCATGCACCACCATGCTGGCTATCAGTTTGGCTTTTTTCCCAATTTCTTCCTGCATTCTTGGTGTTCTCTGACCATCTGTATGTACATTGAGGAATTAGTGTACATACAGCACATGCTTCTTCCTAATCCAATTCACCTTCAGCTCAGAAATGATGAGGCTTTCTAACTATATAGCCATACAATGAATGTTTATTTAATAAATGTTGCACATAAAATTGTTGGTCAATAATAACTCAAAAGTCATGCACGTGGAACTGATATTACTACACTAACTCAGAAGACAATGAGAAACAAAACAATAGATTTCTGAACTGCTTAGCAGATTAGTTTTGCTGTAAAATAAAGTTATGGGCCACATAATGATGGTCTGCTAATGACCTGTACAGCATACAAAGGTTCCCCCCCCCCCGTAAGGTTAGTCACCAAGTGTTTGTGTTGCTCAGCGGCACTGCAGCCACCACTGTTCGCATGGATGCAATCATTTCTATGACGGAGCGTGTGGATGCAATCATTTCTATGACGGGGCGTCTTGAATTTCTTCTGCTTGTGTTTCCTACACCTGTGAGGAATTTTCACATGATCCCCAGGTATCGAGGTATATAAAGTTACAAACAAAACATTTATTAAATAATAAATTTATTTAAAAACAAGTCTTTGACAGTTTTACCAGTCATTAACGGTGAACTCAAATTTCTATATAATTAGATGTTCTTTGTTTTGACATACAGAATTAAATTTACAAAACACATCATGTATGTTTATGAAGTTTTTAAAGGATAAGTTAAACCATTTTAAAGTCCCATCACCTAAATATTATTTCTCACCCATACTACATTTATTGTGTGTGTGTGTGTGTGTGTGTGTGTGTGTGTCCGTGTCCAGGGCACACATCTGAAGGTGGTCGGAGGACAGTTTTGGAGAGTCTGTTCTCTTTGACTATGTGCATTCCAGGGACAGAACTTAAACCACCAAGTTTAGTGGCAAGCACCTTTACCCCCCTGGCTGTCTCACCCATATGGATATGATTTTGAATATAAAGTCTAGGTTCACAAATGAGAGAAAATATACAACCTGTCCCTTCCGAGACTGAGTTAATTTGCTTCATCAAGTTGCATCCATGTTGTGAATGACAAAACTCCATTATCTGTGACTGAAAAAGTTACACTGTGTATATACACCACATTTTAGTTAGCCATTCCTTTAGGATGGACACAGAGTTTAGTCCTATAAATGAGGGATTGTGTGTGAACTGTGTTGCAATGAAGAGTGATGTGCAAGAGAAGAAAAGGAGTTAAATCTTGGCTGGATATATGGTACTGCAATACAGAGTATCAACATTTTTCAGAGTGGATTAATATTTTGATTTATGATTGTCAATACTGAGAATGTTGCTTCATATAAATATGTAGCACATGAGCTGGCAAGATAGCTCAGTGCGGAGCTGGAGAGATGGCTCAGAGGTTAAGTGCACTGGCGCGCGCGCGCGCGCGCGCACACACACACACACACACACACACACACAGAAAATAAACGTAGTAAAAAAAAATTAAAAATATACAACATAAAACCTGTATTTAAGGCCATTCCAGAAATTACTGGAAATTCTGTCCTAATCTCAAACTCAAACCAGCTGCAGCAATTTTAAAATTCAAATACTCTGCAAATCCAATCCAGAGATACACTACAATAATTTTTACACGTTAAAGAATAACTGTGTGTTAGCCGGGCGGTGGTGGCGCACGCCTTTAATCCCAGCACTCGGGAGGCAGAGGCAGGCGGATCTCTGTGAGTTCGAGGCCAGCCTGGGCTACCAAGTGAGCTCCAGAAAAGGCGCAAAGCTACACAGAGAAACCTTATCTCGAAAAAAAAAAAAAATGAATAACTGTGTGAGAATGTCTTTGTTTTCTGTAATTAACCATTATGTTCATAAAAGAGCAGAAAGCCGTACAGTAAAACCAGTGTGAATCATACCACACATGATCTGTGCCAAGGTGTTTCAAGCAGTGTTGGCTGGCCTTGAGTGACCCCGAGGTCATGGCAGTGCAAAGTGCCAGTGTTCTCAGAGCCAGGGCTGCCAGGACACGGTGACATGCAGAGTAGGCAACAGTAGCGAGAAACAACCTAGGTTTGGGTAGTTGTGTTCGGATACTTTTCACTGTTGCCATTTTTTTTCTTTATTTTGACCTTCACCTCGTTACTCCATAGTTTAAGAAACCTTTTTCTATTGAGTTCACACAACTGCAGAATGGCCGGACAATGCATTTTGCAAAGTTGTATCTTAATTTCTTTTTTTTTAAAAGACAGGGTCTCAGTTTGTAGCCCGAGCTGGGCGGGAACTTGCTATATAGACCAGGCTAGCCGGGAACTTAAGTGAGCCACCTGCCTCTGGCCTCTGGAATGCTGTTATTAAAGGCGTGCGCCTCCATGTCCGGTGTGCTTCTTAAATCTTTTCGTTATTTAAGAGGATACGGTGGTAATTTGGGGGTAATATAGCCGTTTTCGCAAACAAGTATTTTTATATAGGGGACATAATTAGTCCTCTGAGACAAACTCGAAATGTGAAAATGTACCTTCTTCTTGGCTGCCCTTCTTACCATTTGGCTGATGAAAACCCTGTTGCTTCCATTTCGAGGGGGTTAAGGACCTGAAATCTTTTCAACCTAGGACAGCCTGCAAGGGTCGGCGGGGTCTGCAGCCAAGGGACGACCCCCGAACCCCGGAGGCCACTCGCGGGCCTTTCTTCCTCCAACTTGGGGCGGTTCGTCTCCAGATCGCAACCACTTCCCTAAAGCTTTGGATTACTGTCGGCCCAGGCTCGTTCCCCAGCTTTTTCTGAGAGCAAAGAAGGGTGTTCCCTTTGGCACCGCCTCCCGGAGCGCAGGCTTCAGCCGGTCCGACACCCCCGTCTCTTAGGCCACCACCTTAGAGCGGGCCGTGCGTCCCATCCTCTGCGACACCTCTCCTCGGGCCACCCACACCCCTGATCCTTTCCACAACGTGCGCTGCCCGCGACTGCCTCGAAGCGCCTCGGCCCCCGCGGACCCGAAGCTGTGGTCGGGGTCCTTCCCGGGTGTCCCCCAGACCGGTTCCCCGCAGAGGGGCGCAGACGGGCGCAGACGCCGCGCGTTCCGGCCGCCAGTCCAAGGAGCCGCTTTTACGACACTGCGCGACCGTAGGGCGCGGCTGACGGCAGAGCCGCGCTGCTCTTGGAGAGGTCACTCCGGAGACGGCGGAGCTTTTGGGGCGTGGGGGTCGGTGGCAGTATGTGGCGCGTCTGTGCGCGGCGGGCGCGGAGTGCAGTGCCCAGGGCCGAACTCGGGCCTCGGTGGGCAGTCTTGAAGGAAGGCCCCGGGGCCCCATGCGGGAGCCCGCGGGCCGACCCCGCCGCGGCTCGTTGCAGCAGCGGGACCCCGAGCTATGGGGTCCGCTTGCTGTGCGGCTGGAGCTCCGGCTCGGACACTGCGCCGCGTAACCGCTTACTGCGGCAGCTCCTGGGGTCTCCAGGCCGTCGCTCTTACTGCCTCCCCCCGCACCAGAAGGTGAGTGCTCCACCCCAGACCCCGTTTGTCCTTCAGAGCCGGTGGTTCCTTGGCGTGGGGGGAAATCCTCCTTGAGAGGCCTCTGTGAGCCAGCTCCCTCCAGGATCGACAACTGCCTTGCCCAAGACCTTCCCAGTAGGGATCTCTTCCATTGAAAGAAAAGCTTCAAGCCTGGGGCTATATGCAAAAGGTCTGGGTTCTCACGTGCTGTCTCAGATCCACTAGACCGACTGGAGGATCCACCTGCCACTTTTGAAAGCCGTGAACTTCTGGGTTGCACGAACTCCCATTGAATCCCCAGGGTTCAGTTCGTAATGGGACTCAGTAAATTCTTTGCATGGAATTGAATGGAATGAAACTCTAAACCACACCGAGAGTTAAGTATCTCTGTTTAAATGGTGCTGCTTTTTCTCCCCCAGGTTCCATTGCCTTCCCTTTCCCCTACGATGCAGGCAGGCACTATAGCCCGCTGGGAAAAAAAAGAAGGGGAAAAAATCAGTGAGGGTGATCTAATTGCAGAGGTAAGTTTTAAAATATGCCGCTGATGTTAAGGGAGTGGTTTTGCTGAGTCGCCTGAGCCTTAGCTTTCTGGTGGGTAGTTACTCCTTTCTCTTCAAGAAACTTATTTTTCCTCTCACAGTCATTAGAGATGTTTGGCTAGGTAAGTTGTCAGCAACTAGCTAAACTGACTGTTTTTTGAGACAGGGTTTCATCGTGTAACTCTGGCTGGCCTGCAACTCAGAGATCTGTTTCCTTTTGCTACCGAATGTTAGCAATACCTGGCTACTACCCAAAATGGTTTTTTTTTAACCATTCTTTTCAGTCTGTGGTAGTGGGTTTATCTTCATATGAGATTCTAGTCACATTGTAATTCACCGAGTGTTGGCAGTACAAACCTAAGCTAATGCTTTGTGTTAAAAGGTTGAAACGGATAAAGCCACTGTTGGATTTGAGAGCTTGGAGGAGTGCTATATGGCAAAGATCCTTGTTGCCGAAGGGACCAGAGATGTTCCAGTTGGAGCCATCATCTGTATCACAGTTGAAAAGTGAGTAAAAATCCTTGTAATTTGTGCACATTTGGTGCTTCTAGAACATTGTAGCTTAAAGTGGAAGTTCAAGACTTTTGAAGACTTGTTGGTAGGTGGGGACTAGATTTGCTTTATAAACTCCATGTTTATATGTTCTTTTTCTTCTTCAGACCTGAGGATATTGAGGCCTTTAAAAATTATACATTGGATTCAGTAGCAGCTACCCCACAGGCAGCCCCAGCATCAGCTCCAGCTGCTTCTGCTGCACCAAGTGCACCTTCTGCAAGGGCTCCTGGGAGCTCCTATCCTACTCACATGCAGGTAAGGCTCAGCCTCTGAGTGCTGGCACCTGGTGATTTTTTACTTACACCTTTTTTTTATGGATGGCGGTTGCATCCTGAAAACTTTTCATTAAAAACAGTGCTTGTCATTTGGCAGTGCACAGATATTTAACTGTGACACTTGATGGCTTTCATTCTTGATTGTTGTCTCTAAGTGTGTGAATTTGGACAGTTCCTTTAACCTTTCTCAGCCTTAGCATGGGACACAGGATAATCCTTGGTTTTCCTCTCAAAAACGTTAAAGGTTCTGAGGAGATTTTTTTTTTCTCCTCTACAAGTAGAATTTATAATAGAGAACAGGCGATGTCTGTTGAATGAAGTCCCCAGATGAAGTTTTCTTTTGTTTGGACTGGTATATTTCCAAGCATAGATGGAGTATTCCAATAATGCTCATAAATGAGAACAGTAACGATGAAGAGTAAGTGTGAATTGACTAAGGAGGTGGCTCAGCAGTTAAGAGCACTGGCTGCTCTTCCAGAAGACCCAGGTTTGATTCCCAGCACCCACATGGCAGCTCACAACTGTCTAACTGCAGTTCCAGGGGATCTGACACCCTCACACAGACACACGTGGGCAAAACACCAATGCACAAAAAATAAAAATAAATAAGTCATTTAAAGAGAAGAAGTAGGGAATTAAGTGTACAGAATACCATTATAACAAAGCTAGTGGCCGTAAGTGCAGTTACCATGAACCTAAACCAGCTTTTAGGGAACTAAAGCATGCTTTTTTTTTCTTTTAAAGTAAGATTTTTCTTTCATACACATAATCTAATTGATGGTTTCCCATCCCCTCAACTCCTCCCAGATCCTCCCACTTCTCTGCCTATCCAAATCCACACCCTTTCTTTCTTTCTCTCATTAGAAAACAAACAGGCATCTAAAAAAGAATACTAATAAAATAAAATAATAATAAATGAGATAGGGTAAAACAAACAGGGGGAAAAAGAGCCAAAGAAAAAGCACAAGAAACATAGACGCCAAGCCACACACGCTGAATCCGTTCATTGGGTAGTAGTTTTCCTCTGTGTATTTATGTGGTTCTTATGTCGGAAGGAGGTAAAATCTAAAGGATTAAGATTTGACCTTTCTTTAATGTTTTTGTTTGTTTGTTTTTTTTTTTTTTTTTTTTTTGGTTTTTCGAGACAGGGTTTCTCTGTATAGCTTTGCGCCTTTCCTGGAACTCACTTGGTAGCCCAGGCTGGCCTCGAACTCACAGAGATCCGCCTGGCTCTGCCTCCCTAGTGCTGGGATTAAAGGCGTGCGCCACCACCGCCCGGCTGTTTGTTTGTTTTTAAGACAAAGTGTAGTCGGATTTTTTGGGGGGGCAGCCAGCTCACAAATAATGACAGAGACTTGCTAATTATTTAAGCTCAGCCTTAGCTTAGGCTTGTCCCACTAGCTCTTATAACTTAGAGTAACCTATTTATATTAGTCTTATGTTCTGCCATGTGGCATTGCATCATCTCTGTATTGTCCATCCTGCTTTCTCGGAATTTGCCTGGCGACCCCACCCTTCTTCTTCCCAGAGTTCTCTCTCTGCCCAGAAGTCCAGCCTGTACCTTCTGCCTAGCTATTGGCTGTTCAGTTTTTATTACACCAGTGAAAGCAATACGTCTTCACACAGTGTAAAATATCCCAGAAACATGGGGTTTCTCTGTGTAGCTCTGGTTGTCCTGGAACTCTGTAGACCAGGCTGATCCTCCTGCCTCTGCCTCCCTAGTACTCAAATTAAAGGTGTGTGCCACGACCGCCTGGCCTATCTTTCCTTAACTTTATAGGAAGTTTTCTGAATGAATCAGTTTCTTTGGAAGTCATATTCAACTCTGTTGGTGGCAGTCACTTACGGAATTTTGCCTGGTCTTTAGCTTTCACGATTATTTCAGTTTAGCAGCCATATTTTATTACGTAATACCTTCTCTCTCCATTTTATAGTGCTTTATGTTCAGGTGTTAGAATTTGGCCCTAAGAATCCTTTGAGATGATAAAGATATTTCACACACACACACACACACACTTTCATTTACTTCACTGGTCATTATGAAACAAAGAAAACAAATTCTGAACAGAAAGTAATTTTTAAAGAATTTTCTAGCTGGGCGGTGGTGGCGCATGCCTTTAATCCCAGCACTTGGGAGGTAGAGCCAGGTGGATCTCTGTGAGTTTGAGGCCAGCCTGGGCTACCAAGTGAGTCCCAGGAAAGGCGCAAAGTTCCGCAGAGAAACCTTGTCTCAAAAAACCAAAAAAAAAAAAAAAAGAATTTTCTAGAGCCAGGCATTGTGGTACATCCCTTTAATCCCAGCACTTGGGAGGCAGAAGTGGGCAGATAGATCTCTGTGAGTTTGAGGCCAACCTGCTCTACAAAGTGAGTTCAAGGACAGCTAGGACTGTTACACAGAGAAACCCTGTCTCAAAAAAAAAAAAAAAAAACAACCAAAAACATTTTAAAAAATAAAAAAAAAAAGGATTTTCTAGGTCTTGTTTTATTTTTTCCCACTTCTAGAGACATTATTGACTGAAATTATTTTTTCCTTAGTATAAGGCTATTGCTACTTAAAAGACTAAGAAGATAGCACATAAAATCCATATTAACATATCACTGTTCACAAACTCAGTGAACACAATCATATAAATAGGAATACAATTAAAATTTTTACATGTGTTTAGTGTGCATGTAGGTATACTGTGCATATATGTTTAGAGGTCAGAAAACAATTCATGAAGAAACCATGTATCTATATCCATCTATCTATCTAAAAATAAAAAAATATAGTATTTAGTTTTTGTTTTTTCCTCTAATCTTGAGATCAAACTCAGGGCCCCAAGCATGCTGGTCAAATACTCTTCTACTGTTAACCTTCATCCTTTGCTCTAAGAAGAGCTCTTAATGTTCATTTTTTTCATAATTTATTTTTATTGTATGTGCATTTCTGTTTTGCCTGCACGTGTGTCTGTGTGAGGGTTGGGTACTCAGAAACTGGAGTAGCAGACAGTTTCGGGCCATCACGTGGATGCCGGGAATTGATCCCAGGTCCTCTGAAAGAGTAGTCAGTGCTTTTAACTGCTGAGCCATCTTTCCAGCCCCATGTTCATTTTTTAAATTTGTGTGTGTGTACGCATGTGCATGCTGGTGCTCTCAGAGGCAGGAAGGAGATTATGGACTCCTGGAGGTGGAGTTACAGGTGGTTGTGAGCTGTCCTACGTGGATGCTGGGAACTGAACTCCGGTCCTATGAAAAAGCAGCGAGAGCTCTTAACTGCTAAGTCATCTCTCTAGCCCTTAATTAAAACAAACAAACAAACAAACAAACAAACAAAAAAACAACTCCTCTCTAGTAAGTGTGAATTAAGTGTGGTTTCTTATGAGTGAAAAGATAAAAAGATAAATAGATGCTCATTGCAGAACACAGCTAATTCAACAGAGTAGTCTGTCTAGACCAAGATCATCCTGTGAAAATGAAAAGTATCTATTAGCTCTCAACCTGAAAGTTTTGACCCCTTTTATAGGGGTCGAATATCACATATCCAGCATATCAGATATGTAGATTACAATTCATAACTCTAGCAGAATTATAGTTATGAAGTAGCACTGAAATAATTTTATGTTTGGGAGTCACCACAACATGAGGAACTGTATTAAAGAGTTGCAGAATTAGGAAGGTTGAGAACCACTGTCCTGGTTGAAAAAAATACTCCACATATATATTGAGCAGCTCGTTTTGACCATCTGAAAGAAATCCTTCCCACCTGCCTGTTGGTTTTAATTTCAGAGGATGGGTTAGGGCAACTGGTCACGTATACTCACCCTTGTTCTGAAAGGTGACTTAACTGGTGGAAAGCTAATGAGCACAGAGCCTTGCTGTGATGGGTAATGTGTTTTTTTGGTTGTGGTTTAATTTTGAGCCAAGGTCTCACTGTGTAGTCCAGATTGATCTCAAACTCATGATCCTTCTGCCTTTTGAGTGTTGAGATTACCGATTAATTCCACTAGACCTGGGTGTGACAGGTGACTGAATTGCCAGTCTCCGGCTCTCGTGGGAGATCATGCATTTGCTGCTGTTGTGTGCGGTGCCCTCTGGTCAAGAGTGATGCATTTGTTTCTGCAGATACTTCTTCCTGCCCTCTCCCCCACCATGACCATGGGCACGGTCCAGAGATGGGAAAAGAAAGTGGGTGAGAAGCTCAGTGAAGGAGACTTACTGGCAGAGATAGAGACTGACAAGGCCACTATAGGTGAGAGTTCTTCAGTTCTTGGTCGTTGAGTGAGGAGGAGGATGGCCATCCTTTCCTGTACTGAGTGAGTGATATATGTATTTTATAATTCCTGGGATTTACTGCCTAGGGCATGATATTTTATAACAAAGTCACACACAGTCACATATGTCAGTTCTGAGCTGTACTCATCAATTGAGGATATGTCAAGATTTGTTATTGGGCCATGGTTTGCTCTCTGCCGTGTTCTTATGATATTCAGAAGCAGTATCAGAACTGCCATTGTTTAAATGTGAGGAAGTGTGGGGGACCAGCCCCCACCTTTACCTGGGTACTCTTGAGGAGTAAGGGATAAGAGATTTAGATAGAAGGATAGAGGGGAGGGTAACTGATAGAAACACAGGATTGCCTCGGGAGGGCCTGAATCCTATCCACTGGCCCAGAACTTCATTCAAAAGGCTTTTTATAACAATGCCAAGGGACGAGACAAAAGACCTCCTCCTTGCTAGTTACGACCCTGTCAAACACCTGGTACCCAGGTCCATGGTCCAGTCATTCTCTTATGCAGTCCTGCTGGGTAAAGCAAGCTCAGGTCTCACCTCTGTGGGCTCCCACAGGAAAGAAGGGAGTGGGGAGGAAGAAAGTCCTCCCCGCTCCTCTGGGGCCGCAGAATACCAAAGGATTTCAGATGATTTTGAGGACAAACAGAACCCATGCCTGTCAGTCTTCACGTGTATCACATTTCTATGTGCCCCTTCTTTGATTTATTCTCAAAAACAAAATCCACTAGGTAGCCGTGCATTTGTGCTTGCACTTATTGATAATCCTAGGTACTCTGAACTTCTTGCCAACTTACCCATAGTTTCTAGAAGCACGAGGCCCATCCCACCATAGAGGCATAGCAGGACGTAGGCGGCATCAGGAAGTAGTGGTCAGACTGTGCTCTTCACACCTACCATTCTTTTTTGTTTGGTTTTTTTTTTTTTTTTTTTTTTTTTTCGAGACAGGGTTTTTCTGTGTAGCTTTGCGCCTTTCCTGGAACTCACTTGGTAGCCCAGGCTGGCCTCGAACTCACAGAGATCCGCCTGGCTCTGCCTCCCGAGTGCTGGGATTAAAGGCCTGCTCCCACCACCGCCGGCCACACCTACCATTCTTAAGGTAGCCTAGGGCAATTTGAACCAAAGAGGAAGACCATCCCACCGGAGCAATTCCATCTCATCCTTTCACATGCTACTTCCTCATAGTTTTAAAATGGTTTTTGTTTTGTTGTTTGTTTTGAGATGAGAGTAGCCTTTAATCTGCAGTCCTCCGGCCTCAGCCTCCAAGTTCAAGTGCTGGGATTATAGGCTTGCAGAACTCTGCCTGGTTCCCCGTAGCTTCTATTAGAAGAAATGATTCTATCTTAAGAAAAAAAGGAAAAGACCAGCAAAATGAGTTGGCATGAGTAAAGGTGCTTGCCAAACCTAAGATCAAAGGTTTGCATCACCTCTGCCCAGCTTCATTGAGTAGTCCCAGTTGGGAAGCGGAAGGATTCATTAGAGATATATTCATCAAAAAGAGGTGTAACTGCAGAAAGCAAGATCCAGAAGGCAGAACTGGCCCTTATTAGCAGATTAATTTTGCTTTTTAAAATTTTTAGTTTAATTAAATTAATTAATTTCTGAGATCGGGTCTCACCTGGATGGCCTGGAACTCAGAGATCCCAGTGCTGGGATTAAAAGCATGCACCACCATGCCCTGCTGTTTTTCTTCACGGGGAACTCTGCTATGTAATCTAGTCTGGTCTTGAACTTTTGAACTTATTATGCTGCTCAGGTTATCTTTGAGCTTGACATCCTCTATTTCAGCTGAGGAAAATAGTAGCTGAACAACCTGTTACCTGTGGTCATAGACCCCGGTGTTAGCTGTATTTCATCACATTGGAGTATTTATCATAATGTCAAGTACAGCCTTTGAGACGCTCTGAGAACACTTTTAGTGCTGAAATCCCGGGCTACTATCCTGCTTGGTAGTTCTGGTAATTTGACTTCCATGTAACTGACTTTCAGCAATACATCTGATACCATCTTAGAATCCTGTGAGTTCCACACAAGGGCTGCCCTTGAGGTGTTTTCAGTGACTCTCAGAATGAACCACTGTCTGCAGCCCTGGTAGGACAGATACAGTTATCTCCATACCCACCAGAGTCTCCAGATCTCCAGAAAAGTCTCCGTATGTGTTCAGCACAGGTGTAGTTTTTTCCCAGATTGTTTTGATCTCAGGACTTGGAGGGCCAACTCCATTTTTTGTTTTCTTTGTCCTGGGGACCGTTTCTAAGTACTTAAAAAACATTGATTTAAATCCCTAACGTTTACATGAGGGTGGTATAGTCAGTCATTTATTTCTTGGTAATGTGTTAGCAAACTGATTCAAGGATAGACGTCTGTAGACTTGAGTTCCCTGTATACGTGGATATAGTATTTGGGGGGTGGAATGGGGCCTCGATTACCGAGCTATGCCTCTACCCCAGTGCACTTGTAATCGTTTTCCAGTTACTTCTAATGCCTAATGCAACAGTGCTGTGTGAATAGTTGTTACACTGTATTGCTTAGGAGTATTGCAAGAATAGAAAGTATTTGGGCCAAGTTCAGATGCACAATGTAACATTTGACCTACAGTTGAATGAATTTAGGGATGCTGAACCTGTGGACAGAAGGTTGACTATACTGTTCCTGTTCCCATGTTCCCACGTTCAAGACTCGAAATAGAGGCACAGAGAGGTTAAGTAGTTTGTAAAAGCCAAACCAAACCAATGCCAGTAGTTTGAATGTGAAAGACCTTTTACTTGAAACCCTGGTAAAGTTGTAAGAATGATGGAGTCTTGGTCCCATAATGTTTTTCTTTCTGCTTAAGGCTTTGAAGTACAAGAAGAAGGTTATCTGGCAAAAATCCTGGTCCCTGAAGGCACAAAGGATGTTCCCCTAGGAACCCCACTTTGTATCATAGTAGAGAAGCAGGAAGATATACCAGCCTTTGCAGACTACAGGCCAACGGAAGTGACCGGCTTAAAGCCACAGGCAGCGGCGCCTGTCCCACCCCCGGTAGGTGTGCTTCCGGAGTGGGAATTCTTTTTTCAGCTGGATGATAGGCAGCCTAGGTTCCTGTGTGTCCAGAGTCGACACGTAGGGAAGTGGCCGGCAACGCCTGTTAACCTGTGGTGGATGATAGCAAGTGCCGTCCACATGATGGTCAGTAGTTTGCCGCCATCTTGAATCCTGCTGAGAACAAAACTGCATTACATGTTCAACCCCCTGCTTTGGGTGTGAAGATCATGCCTCTGAGAGGTGATGCTTTCACTCCACATTTTCTGTTGCTTTATTAAATGCTTGTTTTCATTTTCAGTTCTGGTATTTGTGTATTGTAGTTGATGGACATGCATTTTGGACTTTGGACCCTGATCTGACGTGATGTTAGCGTCGTACACTTGTACTCTTCAGCATATACCTCTGGGTTTAGAAAAGGTGCACGTTTCCTCACTGTCTTGTGTTGATGGGAATGTTGTCAGGGAGCAGTGTAGTCCATCCCTTAACACACTTGAAACATTGGACCTGGTGGTATCATTTTATATCCTGAAGTGAGTAAAGGCAGAAATCAGGTTAGTTCTCCTCAGTGAAAATAAGGAAGTAGCAGAAGCTAGGCGTGTGGTAGTTCAAGTACTTGGAGTGGCTGAGGATCACCATGGGTTACAAAGTCTCAAAGGAGGAAAAATGACAGGTGATAAGTATGTTATACACAGGTCTGATGCATTTATCTAATTACTCTTTACCAATAAAAAATCGGGAGTCAGATGTTAGGGTAAGAACTTAAAAGATGAGAAAAACATCAGAGCAGCCACCAGTGACCTTCTGTCTCTTTGTTCCTCATCCCAAAGGGCTGAGTCCTCTCTCAGACCTGCTTTATTACTTCCTGTCTCCTATCTGTCCTCAGTCCTCCAAAACCTCTGTGGTTAATGGTTTTGTTCAGCTAATGGCTAGCTCTGCCTTCTGACTCCAAGCAAGCTTTATTGTCAGAGTACGATCAAAATATCACACAACCACAGCTCAGTTTAATTCTACATCTCTCCTATTATCACGACTTGTTTCTGTCTCTGACAGAAAGTGTTCTTGTCATCCATATTGTATGTTAGTCAAGCCAGAAAAGTGCATTTGTGGTCTTTTGGAAAGTGTAGTAGAATATTATTTTAAGGTGTGTTACTTTTGTTTAACTCTGTGACGCTTTGTTACTGTGCTTGTGTAAAATACCTGATGATTTAATAAAGAACTAGTCAATAGCAAGGCAGGAGAAAGGATAGGTGGGGCTGACAGGCAGAGAGTATAAATAGAAGGAGAAATCTGGGAGGGGGGATTGAAGATGGAGCAGCCAGAGGAGGAGGACACCAGGAGCCAGTCACCCAGCTACACACACAGCAAGCCATGGAGTAAGAGTAAGATACAGTAGTAAGAGACCGGGGAAAGCCCAGAGGCAAAAGGTAGATGGAATGAGTTAAAGAAAGCTGGTAAGAAACCAGCCAAGCAAAGGCCAAGCATTAATAATTAAGAACAAGCCTCCATGTGGGGTTTATTTGGGAGCTGGGTGGCGGGCCCCCCAGAAGAGCCAAAGAGAATAATAACCTCCAACAACAACAGGGAGGAAAGTAAACATCACTAATTATTATAAAGACTTAGAGTATAAAATATGCAATGATGAGTGGATACTTTCTAACTTTTTTCCAAGGTGGCAGCTGCTCCTCCCACTCCCCAGCCTCCGGCGCCTACACCCTCAGCCCCTCCTGCTGGACCAAAGGGGAGGATATTCGTTAGCCCTCTTGCAAAGAAGTTGGCAGCAGAGAGAGGGATTGACCTCACCCAAGTTAAAGGTAAGTTCTTTGCAAAGAAAGACGTTATAAAGTGAAAGTTTAGCTAAATGGTGTCCCTAAGACCAGGGCATACAACTGTGTGGGAAGGAGATGACTATTAGCCATTTGTTCCTTCATGGGGCAGGGAAAGCATCATTGTGTTTTATTTTCTCACCTATGTAATTTGTATGCCTTTTAAAACATTCCTCTTGTCATTGGAACTCTTTTAATAGTAATGATGAGGAATGGAAATATTCCACATTTGTCTTCAGAACTCTGAGGAGCTCCCTTAGTCTTTTATGGACTTCGACTCAGGAAAACCCAGGTTTTGTGGCTTTGATGCAGAAAAGAGTTTCAGGACTTGTCAGAACGAAGCTGAGTTGGGGTAAAAAGTTGTTCATAAGCTGGGTGTGGTGGCACATGCCTTTTAATGCCAGCACTCCTGAGGCAGATGCAGGTGGATCTCTCGGTTTGAGGCTATCCTGGTCTACAGAGTGAGTTCCAGGATAGCCAGAGCTACACAGAGAAACCCTGTCTCAAGGAGGAAAAAAGAAGAAGAAGAAGAAGAAGAAAGATGCTCACAAAAGAATGAAAGAATGGCGTAGTTTATTAAAAGATATTTATTGAAGATTTTTAAGCATGGGGATTAAGAGAAATATGCTCAGAGAAATAGTAATATATACCCAAACGTAGGTATGGGCTTTCTAAGGGGGAGTCATAGAAGGTCAGACATACCCAAGTATAAGTGTGGCTCTACCAGGGAGAGCTGTGATGAAATGTCTGGCTATTAGCCGTATGTACCACTTTGGCAGCTTTTTTCCCCCTCCCTCCTTCCCTTGGTAAATGAGATTATGGGGCGGCTCTGAGGGTGCAGGGGATGGAATTATAATATGATAACGTAACCAGGAGCCACTAGGGGTGCACAAGGGCTTTAGTATTGGTCTTCTGCTGTGAGTGGGGTTTCTGGTGAGCATCCTAGAAAATTTCAGGTTTATCATTCGGAAGGGGGGCAGCCTTCAGCAAATGTTAATTGCTGGAATTCTTCTCAGCTGGTGAGAGGCTTCAGTCTACTTCAAGGTGAGGGGCTCCTTTCCCTTCTCATATCCCCATAATTTTCCCTGTCTTACTTACTTGTTGGCAAAAGTGTATGTGTTTGTTGAGCAGTACTGAGTTATAGAACTTGGCTATGTAATGGAATCAGTGCTAGGTTGGTGGCGTGTAGCAACAAGGAAAACAGGGCTGTGAGAAGGGTCCTCAGGTAAAGGTGCTGCCGACGTCCTGAGTACTGTCTTATCCCAGGACCCACATGGTGGAGACAGAACGGACTCCTGTCTTTTGTCCGCTGACCTCTGTGGACAGCGTGACACCGTGTGCATGGGTTGAGCTCAGGTCATCAGGCTTGGCAGCAACAACCTTACACATTGAGCCTCTCAACAGCCCAGTTCTTTCTTTCCCTTTTTGATTTATTTATTTTATTTTATTTTTATTTTTTTATTTGATACTGAGGGTTGAACCTAAGATCTCATTTATACTAGGCGGGTACTGTAACACTCATGTACATTCTTAGCCCTTCTCTTTACTTTTATTTTGAGATAGCATCTCAGAATAATTTGCAGTGTTCTATCTTCAGCCTCCTGAAGATAGGCTCACAGACCTGAACCACTGGGTCCTGTTTTAAATTCTGTGTTCTTCCCATCACCCTGTGCTGCCTGTCCCTGCTCTACCAGCCGTAGTCACTGAAGGAAACTACAATTCTGTCCTCAGATCTGTAGTTGTGTGCACTCAGCCTGGTTCCCCTCGACCACCAGGCTGCTGTTTTGTTGTTGGAGGTCAAGCTGATCTCAAGACAGCATGATTCTGCCATTCTTCATCCTTTGTGCTGAGCATCGGAGACAAGGGTAAGGCGTCTCATAGAGCAGAGAGGCTGAGTTAACAACTGCCTGAAGAACCTGGGCTAGTAGGGTCCTTTGTGGGAGAGTTAGAGGCACTGGTTATTTGAACAGAGGGATAAATCGAAGAATCCTAGTGTTGTTTTCATGCAGGCATGGTTAAGCAATCTCTTTACTCTTAGCTAAGCGGATAGTTATTGAGTACCGTCTGTGTCAAGTACCTGTGCATAAGATGGAGAACATTCCGACTTCACTTGCCAACAGTCGAGAATGAGTGAGCAGAAGTCTACCGTAGTGGAGAATGGGATCCAGATCTAGACTGCTCAGGTTTAAATGTCAGCTCTGCCTTATGCTAGCAGTGTGACCTTTTCTGACTCTGTAACTTGTATATAAAAATAATACTTAATAAGTTGTGAAGATTAATAAGTAAACAGTGCTTGTGCAGAGAAAACATATTAGCTGTCCTGGCTCTAAACTTTTATTATGAACTGAGATGACTAAAGAGCTAAAAAGGAATAGACTCAGTGATAAACCTGGCCATGAGTGACGGTGACAGGACATGGTGACTTTTAGGCAGGGTAGGTGAGGATCTTTCCAAGGAGGTGGCATGTGATCTCATCTGGAAGACAAGGAGTTGTCTGTGAGCCAGCCATGTGAAGTATTGGAGAAAAGTGTTTTGCAGAGGTCGATAAGCACATGGTCTGGGATCATGCAAACCTGACATGCTTGAGGAACACAACGGAGCCTGCAGAGCAAAGGGGGAGTTAGAAGACAGGTGAGAAGAATCAAAAGAAGCTGGTCTGATAGCACAGGCCTGTAATTTAGCTGGTCAAAAGCGGAGGCAGAAGGATCACAAGTTCAGGGCCTGCTGGGCTGCAGAGTGAGCTAACCACCGAGGCGGCTGGGGCTGTAGCACAGTGGTAGAGCACTTGTTTAGCATTGTGTGAATGGTAACATTCACAAAGCACAAAAATATCTTCAGCTGTTGCCAGGGTCCCCTGGGGAGCAAATTGCCCTCCCTGAGAATCTGGTCCATTAGAAACAATTGGGGTGACACGGGACGGAATGGTTTGGCAGGAAACAGAATTCTTGAGAATATAAAAAGAAATGGGATTGGCTTTTAGTAGAATTTAGGACATTTTGTCTGCTTTGAGATTATGGATGGCTGGTTGGTGGAAAATAAGAATCCTGCCTGCTACTGTCTGATCTGTAAATTAAGGTTATCTGATAAGCTTGGCGATGAGTCTAGGAAGGACTGAGGCCAGAGAGATCATAAAGCAGTCTCCTAGGGGTTGGGAACAGTGTAAAGGAGCCAGCTGGGTTCTGGGAAGCTTCTGGACATCTGTTTTAGGTTTTCAGTTCTGAGCAGATTTAGTCCGTTAAGCATGTGCTTTTTATCCCAAGTGACTCAATTGAGTCACTAATGAGAAGATAAGCGAGTTCTAGTTTTACAAGGGAATGCTCTAACAGTTCCTGAAGAATGTCATTTGGGGAAGGCAGGGAGGGGCCAGAGGAAGGGAGGAGAGGACAGGGACCGATGGCAGCAGGAAGGTCAGGGCTAGTGAGATGGAAGCTTCAGTGGAGTCGGAGTCTCCTTCGTTTTACTTTTTTTTCTTTTGTACTGAGAATTGAACCAGGCTTTTGTGCCTGTTAGGCAAGTTCTGCACCACTGAGCCCTGTCCCCACCCTGGAGTAGGGTAGGGGTGAGGTTGATGAGACTTTGCAGTAGAGGGTGGAAGTGGCTGAGACCCAGTGAGCTCAAGATCCATGATTGTGTGGTGTTTCCTGGCACCAAGTACTTGGAGTTTTTTTCCATATAACCACCAACCGAGTCTCCAACAGTTCTGCCCAGTTCTGACATCAACTTCCCAGAGTTAGTGTGAGACTACGGTGTCAGACTGCTCTTACTTCAGATTCTTTTAAAGTCCCCGGGGCCACTTGTTTGTGTAACTCATTAGCCACGAGTTAAGAATTGCCAATTCTCCTTGGGTTTGAAATTAGTTACAATGACTGACAGACCTTATATACTGTTGGTCTACTGGAGTGAGTACAGCTCAGACACAGCCAATGGAAGTGATGAACAGGACAGAGTGTAGTGGGGAGGGATGCACGGGGCACCCATGTGTTTATTCTCCGGGCTTGCCATCCTTCCAACACTGCTGTCTGCACCAACCAGGAAGCTGACTGGATCTCACCATTCAATGCACTATTTTCATAGAGGCGTCATCATAAAGACATTGTTGACTAAATCACTGGCCAGTGTTCATTGAATTCCACTTCTAGTCCCTCTTAGTGGAATTGGTGCAGGAAGCAGGGGAGTGGAGGAGGAGATGGGGAGGAGACTGGAAAGAAGACTGAAAGTTACCATCCTTTAATCACCTGTTTGGTCTATAGGCCAACTAGGCTGATGTCCCTTATCCAGATGCCCCGCCCTCAGTCACCTCATTAGCATAAACTGGTGTGGTGTAAAGAAGCTTTATTGAAAATAAAAAACAAATACTTATCATTTGGAACAAAGACCACACATATCTGTGTTTCTCATATCACAGTGCTAGCAAAAAGAAGATTGTTTCTGTTATGGATTTCAAGGATTTAAGTTTATTTATTTATTCATTATTGGGGCTGAAGGGCATGTGTGAGGGCTAAGGCATGTGTGGAGTTTAGGATGACTTTGTAAGATGGTTCTCTTTTACCTTGTGGGTTCTGAGGATTGAACTCTCTGGTCATTAGATGGATATATCAAGTACCTTTGCCCACAAGCCATCTCATCAGCCCTCAAGAGATGGTTAAGAACTAGAAATGACATGGTCTGGGATTTAACCTTAGAAGCTAGGAGCAGGGGGCTTTTGTTTGTGGGAAGAAAACATAGTTTGATAGATGAAAGAACTCAGAAGTCTGAGTTGGATTGTTGTCCTCAAGAGAATGAGAATCAATATGAAATTTACTTTAATGATGGGATTAATTATGATTAGTAGATGAGAGACAGTAGGTTATATGTCTAGATGCCTGGAAATTCAGAGGGAGTTGAAGAATTGAGTCAGAGGGTGGGAGGGGGTTGAGACAGGGTCTCATGTAGCCCAGGCTAGCCTCAAACTTGGTATATGGCCAAGGATGATCTTATATTCCTGATCCTCCTGACTCTACCTTCTGAGTGCTGAAATTTCAAGTGCCCATCACTATACCTGGCTGGGAATTTAGGTTTTTGAGAGGACAGGGGCTAGGCTCACACTCCAACCCCAAGTTACTGAGTGGAGGAGGGAGCAAGAGAAAGAAACAAACAAAACTCCATTGTAAAGGACCAGAAGTCAAATAGAGGGGCAGGATGCTTAGCAAATTTAGCCAAAACATTACCTACTGAGGAAGAAACTATTGAGGCTTAAGCCCTGGGCTGTGGAGTCCAGGTGGTCTGACAATCACCCCATCATGTGTATTTTGGTGCAAACCACCTTTTGCCTTACAGTCCCATTTCATTTTCACAATGTTGCTGTAAACAAGGCTGTTGCTGTAATGCCCATCCTGCAATTGAAACAGGTGACTGTGGTCAGCTGTTTAATGTGACGGAACTCTGCTTTTTTATTGCCAGTCTGGTATTCTTCCCTTTATCCATATTGGTTACGATCACCTGATGTATTTTCTTGGGGAGTTAGGCAAAGCGATGAAAAGCAAACTGACGGTGGCTGATTTCCTCTTGAGGGATGGAGGGGGCCGCGGCATCACGCTTGGCACTGGTTGCAGAGGGAGGCTATGGTTTCTGTGTGCTGAAAAGGCGAGGATCTAATAGAGGTACTGCCACCTCTGTTCTAGAGCTCCTGGTGAGGATAAACAGTTCTAGCCAGCTCTGTTTTCATAACGAAGGAAAGGAATTGGGAAGAACTGCACACAACGGGAATCCTTTAAAAGGCTGCCATGGGGGAAGATGAATCAATTTGACCAATTTTTTTCTAGAAGTGGGCCAGTGTAAAAGGTATTATAATAACTAAATTCCGAATCTGCTTCAAGGTCAGGATGACGTATTTGGGCCTAAGCCTAACCCTGAGATGTTATAGATGGGAGGAGGGAGGGGAAATTGAAACAGTTAAGCCTGTGAGGGAAGTAGGCCTTTCAAAGGCCTTACAGTGTTTGCTCCTTGGTTTGTGGCACGGGTTGGTTTAGTTTTGGCTAGCGTGAAAAACCTGTAAATTGTGGGAAATGAATGATTCTAAAGATGAGATCATTGCAGTTACATCATCATCCATTATTACATTCTGAAGAAGAAAGGTTTATTTGTTCAGAAAATTGTCAATCTCTTACAAAGAAATACTTTATGGTCAAATAAGAGTCCGTTTTAGGGTTCAATGAGTTGAGGTTTCTCTTTTGTTTTTTTTTGTTGTTGTTGATGTTTTTGTTTGTTTTTTAGATAACCATAGCCAACAGCTAATTTTCCTTTTAGATTTATAAACTATGATCTGTATTATCTCTGTCAGTATTTCCCGACTTAAAAGTAAAGAAATAAGCAAAGTATAGAGTTCAATTTAACTAGATGAAACTCTAAAAGAAAAATGATTACTATTTGCAGTAGCTACAAAGAGCCAATATTGATCCAGGGCATTCTGTCTCTTCAGAGTCACAGTGTTGACCTTGGAGAGCCAATGGTCTGCTGTCACATATGTGATATTTATGTTTCTTCAGGAACGGGACCAGAAGGCAGAATCATCAAGAAGGATATTGACTCTTTTGTGCCTTCTAAGGCTGCTCCTGTGAGTTATATTTGGCTTCTTAAAATTGTTATTATTGTGGGGACTGAATCCAGGGCTCTGCACATGCTTGGCAAGCACTCCTGCGACTGAGCTGCATCCCTGGCACATAGCCCTTATTTTTATATTTATTTATTTTTTATTCTTCAATTTAAAAATGCTTTGCTTTCTCTCCACCCCTGTACCCTGTTGTTGGTTGTTTTTATTCTTTAGCTCTTTGCTCTTTGGGGGGCCCACCACCCAGCTCCCAAATAAATCACACATGGAGGCGTATTATTGATTACTTATGAATGCCAGGCCTTAGCTTGGCTTGTTTCTAGCCAGCTTTTCTTAACTTTAAGCTATCCCATCTACCTTTTGCCTCTGAGCTTTTACCTTTCTCTGTTTCTGTATCTTTTCTTTCCTTCTTACCTTGTGTCTGGCTGGCCTCTTCTTTTCTCACTCCTTGATCTCTCTTGCTTCTGTCCCTCCTCCCAGATTTCTCCTTTTATTTATTCTCTCTGCCTGCCAGCCTCACCTATCCCTCTCCTGCCCCACTATTGACCTTTCAGCTATTTATTAGACCATCAGGTATTTTAGACAGGCACAGTAACACAGCTTCACAGAGTTAAACAAATACAACATAAAAGAATGCAACACATCTTTGCATCATTAAACAAATGTCCCACAGCATAAACACATGTAACACACCTTAAAATAATATTCCACAACAGCTCCTCACCTTCTCCGGTGGTGTTGAGGAACCAGGCTTGAACTTGAAATTGTACTGCTTCAGCATCTTGAGTGCTGCTGGGATTTTAAGTGTGTACCACCATGCCTGACTGCCTTTACAATGTCAGTAAAAATTAGTCATTAAATATATTCTTCCTCAAAAAAATGATAATGCTTAAAACATGATTTAGAGTTCTAGTTTTTTTTTTTTTAAAAAAAAAAGGACAGCCCTCTTAACTGCACAGTCTAATTCGCGTCCCTTTGCTTCCGGGGATGGAACCAGCTATTCTTCAGAACTTGGCTGTCTCACTTTGGCGGGTAGTCCTCCACAGCAGTAGCACCTCACGGGTGGTCCTCCAGCTGACACTAAGATCGACTCAGTCACTAACTGCTCTTTCTTTTCCCTCTTAGGCCCCAGCAGCTGCCATGGCTCCCCCAGGTCCAAGAGTGGCACCAACTCCTACGGGTGTCTTCACAGATATCCCCATCAGCAACATTCGCCGAGTAAGAGCTCCACCACAGTCTGGAACCAGAGCTGTTGGGCATTTTCACTCTGGGTGTTTAGTTGTGCCGTAGTTTAAAACACCGAAAAGGACATTGCTAGTTGAAAATGCTGAATTATTAGCGTAAGGGAGGTTGATTTGGTCAGTCGGGTCACTGGGATAAAGAAGTCTCTGTTTGGCTAATCTATTAGAAGGTGCAGTCCTTTGTCTTCCTGCTCTGATGTGTAAGGTAAGCTACCGGGGAGCTGAGTGAAGAGGTAAGCAACTGAGTTAGGTAAGTCTGGACTCAGTTAAGAGAACTGATGTTGAAATCTCTCTGGTTTCAGGTGATTGCACAGAGGCTAATGCAGTCGAAGCAGACCATACCTCATTATTACCTTTCCATTGATGTAAATATGGGAGAGGTGCTGTTGGTACGGAAGGAGCTTAATAAGGTAAACCTGGAAATTCTGTCTTTCCCACTCAAGCTGTACAGTGCTGCCCATGTGCTCTGTTATTAGAAGCTGGTTAATGATAGAAAATTCCTGTCACTTGAATTGTTAAGGAGAGAATATCCTGAGGGATTCTCATTTAACTTTTTTTGATTTGTTGCAATGTTCCAGACAGTGTCTCACTATGTACCTCACACCTGGAGCTCCATATAACAAGGCTGCGCTGACCTTGATGTTGGGATTGCAGGAGTGCACCACCACCTCCTGGCTTCTCTGTTAACTCTTATTAAAATTTGGCATTTAATTAAGACTCACTTGGGGGAACTGGAGAGATGGCTCAGTGGTTAAAAGCACTGGCTGCTCTTCCAGAGGACCTGGCTTCAATTCCCAGCAACCACATGGCAGTTCATAACTGCTTGTAACTCCAGTTCCAGGGGATCCGACACCTTCACACAGATATACATGCAGTCAAAACATGAGGTGCACATGAAGTAGAAATAAATAAAATATTTAAAAAAAAAAAAAAGACTCACTTGGCTGTGGGTGGGTATTTGTCTAGCGAGTTCACTGTGCTTTGATACTTGAGGCTGCTTTGCTTTGGTAGCTAAGAAATGACCTCCACATGTTTGTAGTCAGATATACCTGCCCACTGAGCTCAGTTTTGGGAACAGAGAGCATGAAGCAGTCTGTCTTCAATTGGAGTTATAATGGAATTGGGGCACTACTAAGTGTGACAAGGACGGACAATGGTTTTATAAAGGTGACGGTATTCATTTGTAGACCAGTCTCTTTATGAAGCTGCCTCTCAATTGTATGCTGAATTACACTGTGTGTGTTCAGTACTGGAGGAGTTCAGCAGAGAGCTTAGAGAGACCTTGATGGTCAGGGAGTTCACAGTGCTGTACGACAGGAAGTGTTTGGATTGGCAGAGATGGTTGAGGATCATAAGGGTTAAGGGCTTTAAGAGTGGAAACAAGGCTAGGAGATGGAGATCCGTGAAGTGCCTGTTGCACGAGTGTGAAGCTCTCCATCACTAACATAAAACTTCAGGCACTTTGATTGCCTGTAACCCTAGCACCGGGAGGCCAGAGACAGACAGGGTTTGTCTCAGCGACAGACTTTGTCTCCAAAGATTAGAGAGTGGGGCTGGAGAGATGGCTTAGTAGTTAAGAGTGCTCTTACAGAGAATCCAGGTTCAGTTCCCAGCACCCACATGGTGGCTTATAGCCACCTGTAACTCCAGTTACATCTATAGATGCCTCATTCTGTAGGCAACAGGCTCACACATGGTGCAAATATGTCCATGCAGGCAGAACACCTATACACATGAAATAAGCCTTCAAAAATAAATAAACGATTAATAAATATAAATTAATAAATATGAGAGCAAGGTGCTCTCCTTGAGGAAGGTGCTCAACCACATAAAATAAATTCTTTAAAAACTAGTAGAACAAAAGACCCCATCAACTCCTTAGAGTAGTGTGCAGGACTCTTCTGACTTCTCTCCTATTGTCCCACACTGAAGACACTCCGCTTGTCTTGCTGTTTCTCTTATTTTCTCAGTATTACACTCCTGTGCTTGTGTTCTCTCAGTGTACAGCCTGCTGTCCATGTGCCTTCCTCCTTCACCTCCTTAAGGACTTGGAAAGTATTGCCTTGACCACTTTCTGATTCTAAATTTACCACCTCCCTCCACCTGTTCACACAGCACTCTGTAAGATGCTGTATGTTTGACTGTTACTTATGCTTTTAGAAAGTGGGCTCCCCGAGAACAGAATTTTTGTTTATTGCTCACTGCTTCATACCCAGGCGTTAACATTATGTATCCAGCACACAGTGGACACAGTAGAATTAAAATGACTACAGGGTTTAAAGATAATGGCATACAATTACTGTCAAAATATTGAAATGGGGCTGGAGAGATGGCTCCTGTTTAAAAACAATTGTTCTTGCAGAGGACCCATGTTCAATTCCCATCATCCACACATCCACTTACAACTGTCTGTAACTCCACTTCCAGAGGATCCAGCATCTCTTCTGACCTCCACAGGCTCCTATTTGATGTCTCTCTCTCTCTCTCTCTCTCTCACACACACACACACACACACACACACACATACACACACACACACAGATAAACATTTTTAAAATATTGAAATAGATAGCCGTATCCAATGTACTTGAGGTATTACGTTGAATGGCTCTTTTGAGCTATTCATACCATTCTAATGCCATGCTCCATTCACACATTTGAAGTGTCCTACTCAGTGTCTTTCAGCGTATATCCACGTTCCCACAGTAGACTTTGGAGCGTTTTCATCACCCCGAATAGCCCTTTGCCACAATCCCATCAATCCTTCCATTCTCCCCAGTCTTACATTTTTGTCTTGGAAGATTAGCAGTACATGAATGTGGAATTCTCAGACTAGAATCCTATGAATTCTGGTCTTTACCAGATGCTTTTTATTTATCATATGGTTTCAAGGTTCAGCCGTATTGTAGCATGTATCAGTTTTTCTTTTCTTTCTTTTTTTCTTTTTTAAGCTTTATTATTTGTGTGTTTGGTGTCTGCAAATGTATGTGCACATGTGTGTGCAGGTGTCTACAGAGGCGAGCCAGAAGAGGGAGAACAGATCCCCTGGAGATCTTGTCTTGTTCTTGATCTTAGGGGGAATAATTTCAACCATTAAGTATGAGGATAGATAGTTATCGGGGTTTGTATATCTTTTTTTATCATCAGGAAGTTCCTTCTAAGTTTATTAACTTTTATTGTGAATGCTACTGAATTTTGTTAAAGTGTCTTTGAGCTGTTGAAGCAGTTCTGTTAGGGCATTACTTAATCTTTTTCTCTTTTAAGGAAAAAGATCTCACAATGACGCCCAGATCTTAGGGCCCAAATGATTCCCCTGCCTAAGCCTCTTGAGTAAATGAGACTATAGTCACATGCTGCTTTGCACATTAGAATTGATTGTTCCTGAGCTGTCCATTCCTGAAACATTTCATTTGCTCATAGCTAGTGGCTGGGTTTTCTCAGCTAGTGTTCTGTTAAGGGCTTTTCTAGTATATTTGTAAGATAATGCTTAGGTTCTAGACTGTTGGGTTTTTGTCTGATTTTGGAATGAGGCTAACATGGAGGAATTGTTAACTTGCTCTTCCATTTTTTAGAAGGCTCGGTGAAGAGTTCATGTTAGCCTTTAAATGTTTGGCAGAATTGGCCAGTAAAGCTGTCAAGGTTGATGGGTGGTGGCGCAAGCTTTTAATTCCACCACTTGGGAGGCAGAGGTAGGTGGATCTCTGTGATCTTCAGAGTAGGCCAGCCTGGTCTAGTTTAGTCTGCAGAGCTAGTTCCAGGACAAAGAAACCCTGTCTGGAAAACAAATAAACAAATAGACAAATAAAAGTCGTGTGATCTAGTCTTCTGTATGAGCGTATTTCCATGACCAGTTTCATCTCTTTGATTGTGTTTATTCTGAGTTTGTATTCCTTATAGGTTTGTTTCTTCCTAGAAATTTGAATGGGTTGTCTGATTTGTTGGTGTGGGGTATTCATAGTACTTCTTTTTTTGTGTAGGAGAGACAGTGTCCCCCCCCATTTCACTCTTAATCTGAAGAATTTGATTCTACTTCCTCTTTCTAAACCAAACATTTTTTTAGTGTTGTCATTTACTTAATCCCCCCCCCCCCCTCTCTCTCTCTTTCTATATTATGGTGTTTTGAGACAGGGTTTCTCTGTGTAGCCCTGGCTGTCCTGGATCTCTCTCTGTAGACCAGGCTGTCCTCGAACTCACAGAGATCTGACTGCCTCTGCCTCCCTAGTGCTGGGGATCAAAGGTGTGCACCACCACTGCTCAGCTTACTTGATCTTTTAAAAAGAAAAAGCCAACTTGGTTCAGTTGGGTGAAAATAGCAACTACCATAACTTAGGGTGTTCAGCTGCTTCGGTGCCAAGCAGGTAACATGTAGCCCCTAAGGCCTCCATGAAACAGATAAAAGAACAGCCTTCGGGGTGGCAGGGAGTTTAATAAAACTAGTTGATTGTTGTTTTAACAGATGCTTGATGGGAAAGGAAAAATCTCTGTCAACGACTTCATCATAAAAGCTTCAGCTTTGGCTTGTCTGAAAGTTCCCGAAGCAAACTCTTCCTGGATGGACACAGTTATAAGACAGTAAGTTGACTGGAAAGGTGCACACTGATCTGCAGTTTGCACATGGTTGCTAACTGCAACTAGGGATGGGGGGTGTGACACCCGTGGATAAACGGGTTTGAAACGGCATAAAATACTTGAGATGCTGTTCAGCGGGTCAGCAAAGGCTGTGATTACTTAGGACTATGGGAGAGCAGGGTGGAGTGGGTTACCTGATCCCAGTGAGTTCTGACAGCTGTACTGAAAAGCACTTGTTGATGTCTAGGCTGGCTCATGACTGGCTTGGTACATTTCATTAGGTCTTTCGAACCACTTCATCAGTTAGCTGTTTTCACTTCCATTTTTCCAGTGAAGAAACAAGAAGGCTCAGTGAGTTCTGTAGCTTGTCCCAAGTTAGTAAGTTGATCAGTGTCAGAATTCCAGCGCAAGCCCGGGCCTTTTCTAGTATGGAGGTAGACACTTTTCTATTATATTTTTTAAAATTTATTTTTAGTCAGGTATCTGAGTGTGTCTCTGTGTGTGGGTATGTGCATGTGAGTACAGATGCCCAAGGAGACCCGAGGCACCAAATCCTTTAGAACTGGAGTTATAGATAGTTGTTAGCTGCCTGACATAGGTCCTAAGAACCAAGTCTGGGTCCTCTGCAAGAACTGTGTATTGCTTTTAACTGAGCCATCTATCCCTCCAGCCCCAGGATTATTACAATTATTAGTAAAAGAAAAAAAAACAAACTTTTTTTCTCCCTTTGCTTTCTGTGCTCACACGCTCACATTACCACTTACATGTGTCCTCAGAGATGAGCCAGTCAGTTTCCTGTGGGCAGCAGCTAGGTGCTTCATTCTGATTCTGTGTACCTGGAGATGGTGTCAGACCTCCGAGATTGGGCCTCAGTCCCACATAACTGCCCCCTCGTTAGATGCCACTCTCAGATCTGACAACTGACTCCAGACAGGTTTCCATGACCCCTTCCTTGAGCAGGACAGCTCACAGGAAATGCTGTGAGGGAAAGACTCGAGTATACTGTCTTACTGTAAACAATTCTACAAAGGGTACAGATGAAGTTGAGGCCACCTTGACCTACAGAGTGAGACAGGTCTCAACAGAGATGCTCCTCAGGTGTCTCAGGCCTTTGCTGGTCTACTCTAGAAAAGATGGGGATTCCTGCTTTGTCTTCTGAGATGCGACCACCTCTGTGCCCTGGGCACTCCGGTTTCTCCCCGTGGTGTCTCTGCTTTTCTGTTTTGTTCTCCTTCCTCCCTCCCTTCCTTTGTACTTCCCTGTCTCTCTTTGGTGGACATGTGTGCCATGGCCAGCTTCAGGACGACTTATGGGAGCACCTTTTCTCCTCCCACCATGTGAGCTCCCAGGATTGAACTGAAGTTGTCAGCTTGGCTGCAGTCACCTTTACCCACTGAGCCATCTTGCCAGCCCCCAGCCCCGTGTGTCCCTGCGCTCACCCTTTGTTCTGTCTGCTCATGCTTTGTTGCGGAGACTGGTCAGCCAGTGTACTTGCACTTCACACCCAGAAAGGAAGGCCAGCTTGTTTCATGCTGATTATGATGATGTTTTTGTGAGTCACTTGACGGCTCACAAAAGGGAAGTTGAAGTGTGAAATCAGCCTTCTGATAGAGTTCTCTCCCCATCCCCTTTCATCTTTTTAGAAGTACAAGTGAACGAGAAGACAAATCAAGAGTTAACTTGTAGGGTAGACGTCTCTGAACAGTAGCACAATTGCCTCTAAAATCTTTGTGTGTGTGTGTGTGTGTGTGTGTGTGTGTGTTTCTGTGTGTGTGTGTGGTGTATCAAGCTCAGGAATTTGTGCATAGGCAGGTGCTCTACCACAAAGCTACATCCTACGCACCTACAGTGTCTGAAGTAAATGTCCAAGATCCATATTTTCTTTAGCCTGACACTTTTGTTCCCCCAGAGCAGAGGATGGAAGAACTGAGGGAGACCCCAGCTCTCCAGCTCTTTTTATTTTTTATAAGCATTGGTGCTTCGCCTGCATGAATGTCTGTGTGAGGTGCCGGATCCCTTGGAACAGTTGTGAGCTGTCGTGTGGGTGCTGAGAGCTGAACCTGGGTTCTCTGGGAGAGCAGCCAGTGCTCTCAGCCCCGAGCCACTTCCCCAGCCCCCTGCAGCTGTTAATCCTTGACGTTGATGGGTCGGACCCCCTTTTCCTTCTCAACAGAAATCACGTGGTTGACGTCAGCGTTGCTGTCAGTACCCCTGCAGGACTTCTCACTCCTATTGTGTTTAACGCACACATAAAAGGACTGGAGACCATCGCGAGTGACGTTGTTTCTCTAGCATCCAAAGCCAGAGAGGGTAAACTGCAGCCTCACGAGTTCCAGGTAGGGTGCTGTCGTGACCTGTAAGGAGTGTGTGACTCTGAAGGTCAGACAATGCTTTTGTTGCATTGTCTGTTTGAATTCTGCTACATAGACATGATACATGATACTTGGTCTTGAAAATGAAGCAATTCAGTTAAATGGGAAAAGCTGAAAGGCATTTTCAGACTTGCATGGGAAAGCCAGCACAACTGACATTGGTTTCTTATCATAATGTGTATTCTATTCAATACTTTTCTTTATTATTATTATTATTTTTTTTTTTTTTTTGGTTTCTTCTTCTTTTTCTTTGGTTTTTCGAGACAGGTTTCTTCCTGTAGTTTTGGTGCCTGTCCTGGATCTTGCTCTGTAGACCAGGCTGGCCTGGATCACAGAGATCCACCAGGCTCTGCCTCTTGAGTGCTGGGATTAAAGGCGTGCACCAATGCTGCCCTGCAAGACTTTCTTAAGTAAAAGATTATTTCATGGCTTTTTCTGAGAATATTTGTAATTTTCTCTGGGTTATTTTGACAATGTAATCTATTTTTATTTTTTTTCCTTTAGGGTGGAACATTTACAATCTCCAATTTAGGAATGTTTGGAATTAAGAATTTCTCTGCGATTATTAACCCACCTCAGGCATGTATTTTGGCAATTGGTGCTTCCGAGGATAAACTGGTCCCAGCAGATAATGAAAAAGGGTGAGTAGGAAAGTGGAAAAGGTGTTGGGAATGACTCGACTGTATTATAATATTACTGGTTTTTATGTAGATATGGCTTTAGGTAGAGTCAGTAAATGCAGCATGAAATGCAAAGGGAGGCCACTTTGATTTTACTAACTTCAGTCAGTCATATTTGAGATATGACCTTACTTGAGACTTCTAGATGGCAGGTTGGTACATTTTTTTTTCTTCAAGAGTCAGATAGTAAATATTTTAGCTTTTGGGGCCATATGGCCTATTACGGATTGCTTGCCATTGTACTATGAGAGCAGGCAAAAATACTATGCTAATGATTTCCAGGAAAGTAGATCTATCTAAAAATAGACAGAAAGCAGACTTTGGCCTGCGTTGTATAGCTTGGCAACTCATGTTCTCAGGATGTATTTAGTTTTCTTTCAAGCTGTCAATTTGAGCTAAAGAAAAAGAGTGGGTGGAACCAGTCTTCATGTGCAGAACTATAATCACAGTTTTTGTAGGGGCTGAATCAAGAGGGTTAGAAGTTCAAAGCCAGGCTGGGCGGTGGTGGCGCACGCCTTTAATCTCAGCCCTCGGGAGGCAGAGCCAGGTGGATCTCTGTCAGTTCCAGGCCAGCCTGGTCTACAGAGCGAGCTCCAGGACAGGCACCAAAACTACATGGAGAAACCCTGCCTTGAAAAACAAAAAAACAAAAAAAAAAAAGAAGAAGTTCAAAGCCTGCCTCCACTATCTGGCAAGTTCAAGACCAGCCTGGCTAACTGTCTCAGAACTTTAAAAACCAGGTTTTTTTGGTGATGGGTGTGATGGCGCATGCCTTTAATCCCAGCACTTGGGAGGCAGAAGCAGGCCTGATCTACAGAGCGAGTTCCAGGACAGCCAGAACTCTTATTACACAGAGAAACCCTGTCTTGGAAAACCAAAAAAGAAAACAAGCAAACAGTTTTGTTTAAGATGCTTGGAGATATAGCTCAGTAGTTAAGCACTTGCATAGCATGTAAGAAACCTAAATTCGCTGGACGGCGGTGTCTTATACCTTTAATCCCAGCACTTGGGAGCAGAGGTAGCCAGATCTCTGAGTTTGAGGCCAGCCTGGTCCACAAAGTCAGTTCCAAATCATCAAGGACTAAACAGAGAAATCCTGTCTTGAGAGAGAGAGAGAGAGAGAGAGAGAGAGGCCTGGTCCACAAAGTCAGTTCCAAATCATCAAGGACTAAACAGAGAAATCCTGTCTAGAGAGAGAGAGAGAGAGAGAGAGAGAGAGAGAGAGAGAGAGAGAGACAGAGAGAGACAGAGAGAGACAGAGAGAGAGAGACCTAAATTCAGTCCTCAGAATGAATGAATGAATGATGAATGGATACTAATCTCCATGGGCAGGATTACAGGGAGGAATCAGCATCTCGGTGGCTGTTGTCTTCGGTTCATTGGTTTCTTTCAGAATATCCACTGATGTTCTTTCTTTCTAGCTTTGATGTGGCTAGCGTGATGTCCGTTACACTCAGCTGTGATCATCGAGTTGTGGATGGAGCGGTTGGAGCCCAGTGGCTTGCTGAGTTCAAAAAGTACCTTGAAAAGCCTGTAACAATGCTGTTGTAATTTACCCAAGAACTTCTACCCTCTCTGCTGACATTATATTTATATGTTATTAAACAGGTGGTTCTTTTAAAGTTTCACTAGTTAAAATTTATTATTGAGTCTGTCCAGATAATTTATTTGTAATAGGCATTAATGAATCTTTTTTAAATGCCAGTTACACCCAAATATTATACCCCTTTAAAATTAAACATAATTTTAAAGCTGAATATGCCTAGTGAAGGGACACAAGGCCTAACTCTTTGGTGAGAAAACCTTCCTGAGGGTAGAGGAGGGGTAGGATTATAGCTCCCTGCAGACTGGCTCATAAAAGTAACATGGATGAGACCTGCAGTTTAATTGATTCAGCTTACTTAGTGTGAGGGAAACAGAGTCATGGAAAGTATTTCTCATGGGAAGAGTTTGAACTGAAGCTTTATTTTGGAATCTAACCCTAGAGTTTCCTATTACATGATCTTGGTTTATCACATGAGAACCTCAAGGCAAATAAGTGAAACTTTTAAGAGTCAGCATTTTCAACCAACTCTTATTTTTATATGAATCTCTAAATAAAATAGCTTTCCCTTCCTTAAGATAAAGATATAAACCAACTTCTTGGTATAAATGAGAATTTATGTATTTATTTATAAGCAATTTCAATGTATAATTTGAGAATTCTGCAGTTTCCTCCAAATAAAAGAACATGCTTATTGAAATGAACAAGTTGCAGGAGTAGAATTTTCCTTCTAAGATGAATTGGATGTTAATTGTAAATGAATTCACTTATCAAATGTTATTACTCAACTGGAGAACTCTTTGGAATGAGTATGGAATGTATATGGGAGAAGTTGTACATATGTAATATATGGTTTCAGAGTTGTATATGTGCCAAAGTCTATTTATCCCAGATCCTGCCTGAGGAGGAGGAGAGAGGATGTTAGGGGTAGTTTACAGCGCTAACTATTATGTCCAAACTGGGCACGTAGCTGGGTAGCTTCAGCTACTCAGAAGGCTAAGAAAGTAGGATAGTTGGACAATATAGCAAGACTATCTCAATAAAACCAATAAAAATGATGCCCAAAACATGATAATTTCTGGTTGGATAAAGGTTTTTTAAAAAAGTATATATTCAAGGGTTTGGTTTCTTAGCCCAGTTCTGTCTCATTGGAGGGAAGAGCTTAAATAGGTGTCCCCTTACCAGCCTAAATGCTCCTTTCATTTTATTATGTTTTATCTTTCTTTTGGAGGGAAGGGGGCTGATATTGCAGGAACATTATCACAATTCCAGACTTCTGTTAAAATGGTGTATTTTAATAAATGTTTGGAATTACTTGTGACTTTAAAATAACCCTGACCAGTGCCTCCTTATGTGTAGTATGTGGGGCCATCCTCTGGAAGTTGAAGTGTTTCATCAGTGTTGAATCTGCTTCTAAATGTTTGTTATCACGTGGTGTACAAGTGACGCTCCAAATACTCCACAAACATCCAGCTGCTATATCCCTGTAGACAGTTCAGTGCTGTGGCCTACCTCTTCGGCACTGAGTGATCCTAGGCCGCACTGAATACTGGACCGAAAGAATATGCTTATCACAGGGGTCCGTCATTAGCATGAGCCAAATCTAGTCTAATGTGAAGCTGAAAAATGACTCATTCTTTGCTAATGCTCCATTGTTCCTTTGGAAGAAAAATAAAAGTTTTTCATCTGACAAAAAATATTCTGAGTTAAGACTTATCTCCCCTCTGATCTAAATCTGAACTCAGCCAACATAGTATCTGAAGGAAGTTAGAAACAGTGTTTTGGATCAAGAAAGATTGTTTAAAAATTAAACACGTTTTCAGTGTGTCAACTAATTTTTGATCTGTTTGTAGTTTGTTTCATATTAAATGATTAATATCCAGTGTCAGCTGCATAATTCAAAGCTCCCAGTACAGGTGAAAATTCAGTTGTCTGCCTGGCAAGATGAGTGATGTCATCAGGCTATATAGTCTAACACGTAGCTTAAAGGGTCACTGGAAAGCCCTGTGATGAGGCATGGCACTTACTGCCAGACGGAAAGTGATCGAGCTCTCTGAGATCATTTGCTCCCGACCTGGGGTGAGTGTGGAATTATGGTTTGTCCAGACATGAACTACAAGAGAACAGAACAGGGGCTGGAGAGATGGCTCAGGGGTTAGGAGCACTGCCTGCTCTTCCAGAGGACCCGGGTTCAGTTCCCAGCACCCACATGGCAGCTCACAACTGTCTGTAACTCCTGTTCCAGGAGATCTGACACATTCACACAAATGCACATAAAAATAGATTTAAAAAAAAGAGAGAACAGAACGGCCTGTGAGACATGACAAGTAGGAAGAGTCCTCCTCTGTTCATGCATGGACCCTAGGCTATGCTGAAAACTGTAACCACTGACAGTAAGAGATAGGAAACCACGTCCGTAGAAAAGCCTGCTCTGAATTTTTCAGGAAAAAGACTCAGTGAGGAGCTGAAGAGAGGGCTCAGTGGTGAAGTACTTGCTGCTCTCGTAGAGGCCTGGATTGGTTCCCAACACCCACATGGCAGCTCACAACCTTTTGTAACTCCAGTTCCAGGGAATCTGAAACCACCTTCCAGCACCAGACGTGCATGTGTACAAATATATACATATGGGCAATACAACGACATGTAAAAAACCTACATGTTTAAACTTTGTGCATTCCATTATTAATGCCCTTCCTGAACATATTTCACTTATAAGAGGAGGGGAGAGTGGTTTTATTAACATGAAATTCATTGAAATACACAAGTAGGATATTTTAGAAATGAGTTTGAATAGCAATTTCTACACTGGGCTTTTTAGTGTGCATGTTCATGAGGAGGGCAAAGGACAATTTAGGGAACCAGTTTCCTTCCATGAGTCACAGGGATTGGATTTAGGTTGTCAAGTTTGCGCAGAGTGAGTACAAACGCATAGTAACAAGGAGCACCTATGTGTTGGGGACAAAAGTAGAGATTCAGGGCTGACAAGATGGCTCAGTGGATAAGGTGTTTGTGTCCTAACAAAGGCTGTTAGGGTCCAGCCCCTTCATAACCTTTTCCCAGGGTCTATGGGAGAATCTACTACCAGCTGAGGAATCTAATCTTAATGATGTCAAATGAATCTACATAAACGAAACTCTTTAGTCCATTCACTTTATTCTTCTGAGTCTGTTCTCTCTCTACACAGCTGCTTTTCTGCTCTCATACTTAGCTCCTTTTCTGCCTGATTCTCTACATTTTTCTGCTGTTCTAAGTTCTACCTTAACTCTCCCATCTCATTCTTGCCCATCTCATTCTTTCCCATCTGGTTCTTCCCATCTTAGTTCTACCCCATCATAGGTCTCCCCTAGTTCTCTGAGGATTTCTGTTATACACCCATGCAATCAGCAATACTCTGGCCAAGGCGAGGTCACCAGGTTTGAATTCTCTCAGGGTCAAAAGCAGGGGTGATAAGACCCACGCAAAGAGCAGTAATGTCGGCTGTCATTAGCAACCCCAAAGGGAAGTGACTAATGGGGAATGAATCAGCTAGGGGCTAAATTCAGTTAACAGATTGAAAAGTGTGCTCAAACCTTATTCTTAGAAGTGGTTAGGTAAAAATGTTAGGAGCCTATAAGTCAGTAAGTTACAGGTGAAAATAAACTGCCCTTTTTTCCTTTGGAACCATATCTGTCGCTTAACTCAGCTGTCTGTTTTCTGGCAGGGCGGGGGAAGTGTGCTCCGTAGCTAGGCAACCTGTGTCACAGCTTAAAGCCCTTTTAGTTCTGAGTTGTTAAAGGGAGATCTAGAACTAGAGATAGCACTTGGAAGAAGGAGGGTTAAGCTTAATTAGCACATCCACCTGGTCTTCTCTAACAGATAGTCTGGATGCTTATCTATCTGCAATCTGTTCTTAGAAGGTCTGAGGAGTATCTCAGATAAAGTACTTTCATCCAGAGATGGGCCTGGCCAGATGTTGCTAATGATAACTACAGAAAGGCCTGAAATTAGAGGTCTCGGCTGTGTGATAGCTGTTAACAGTTGGGAGATGTTATCCAAATACCTCAAATGTATAGGGGAAGTTGTGCCCAGTGAATGATCAACCACACTGTTAGAAGTTCTTGGGAAAAGAATCAAATGGGAAAGCTACGATAGCTCACAAGAAATCCATTGCAGGACACAGCTGAATTCAAGAGCCAGTATCACCAATACTTCCTTGAGGCTTGGCTTTATCCTCTGGAAGAGTAACTCTTCCAGGTAGTAGCTTTGCCATAGTCAGCTGAATTCCTACTTCATATTTCTGCAGCTTGCAGCATTGGCCAAACCTGGGGACCTGATTCTTGGGACCCACATTATGGGAGAAATTGAACTTAAAGTTCTCTGATCTCCCTATGTGAGCCATAGCATGTGTGTGCATGTACATGTAGAAATATTTTTAAGAAGGTAGAGAGTCAATTAATCATGTGATTGGGTAGGGGCATTTTCTTTCCTAAACAATTGAGTGATGATACCATATACTTTTAGGAATCGTTTTTTATCTGATGAATTTTGCCTGCAGGCTTTGTTTAGCATATGCTTGCAGTGCCCTTGGAGGCCAGAAGAGGGCGGTGGATGGATCCTCTGTGATGAGTTATAGACTCATCAGCAGTTATGTGGATGCTGGGAATTGAGCCCAGGTCCTCTGGAAGAGGAGCCATCTCTCCAGTCTCAGGTAGAGGCATTTTCTAGGAAACATGGCTCTGTCAGTGAAGGCTTTTCAAGTGTATTGGAGGGTGAGGATAATAATTTGTTAACTATTAGTTTTAGAATATCAGAAGTTCTGAAGATAAATTTACCAGTATAGTTCTAGTGAAAGTCATATTCCAGAAAATTATACTTGCTTTTTTTTTCTTTTGGTCTTTTGGTTTTTTTGAGACAGGGTTTCTCTTTGTAACAGCCCTAGCTGTAGTGGGGGGTTGTCTGTGCCAGGCCCTGAAGCACCACCCCTAGTGAGGCAGTAGGTAGCTGCTAGATAGTTGCCCCTAAGGCGTAGCCCGGACAGGGACCCTTAAGAGCTGGGATGCATGCACACGCACTCTATTCTCTTCGATACCTTGGGGTCTTGGATGCTGGTGCTACGGATCAAGGCAGAGCTCTCTGGAGAACAGCGCTGGACTGTGCCTCACCTTTCCAGGACCCTGTTATAATCCTGATTTCCTATATTGTGAGTTTCCTGTATTATGAGTTAACTCTCCCCTCCCCCATAAATTCCTATAATCATTAAGCTATTTCCATAGATTGTTAGCAATTTAATCTTATTACCTAGCTGTCCTGGAACTCTCTCTCTAGACCAGGCTGGCCTTGAACTTACAGAGATCTGCCTGCCTCTGCCTCCCGAGTACTGGGATTAGAGGTGTGCGCCACCACATATTTGCTTTCTTAATGTCACATAACAGGGTTATGAGGTGGCTCAGTTGGTAGAATCTTGACGAGCATTTGTGAGATCTGGGTTCAACCTTGGAAAGCAAATGATGTTTAAAGTTTGATCTGCCCTCAGGGCTGGAGAGATGGCTCAGAGGTTGATGAGCACTGACTGTTCTTCCAGAGGTCCTGAGTTCAGTTCCCAGCAACCACATGGTGACTCACAACCATCTATAATGAGATCTGGTACCCTCTTCTGGCATAAAATCGATAGAGCACTTACAAAATAATAAATGAAGTTTGATCTGCCTGTTGCTGTCTTTGCATACAAATTAGGTGGCTGGTACTTTTTTGACAACTTAGAAACAAAAATGAAAAATGCCACTGGGCCGGTGGTGGCACATGCCGGTTAGTCCCAGCACTCAGGTGGCAGAGGCAGGTGAATCTATGTGAGTTTAAGGCCAGCCTAGTCTATAGACAGCCAATATTACACAGAGACCCTGTTCCAGGAAAAAAAGAAAGATGTTGCTTCTTTTCTATAGAATAAAGTACTTGGGCTGAGTCAATTTTTTTCTCAAATTAGAACTGCATGTATTTTTCCTATGGTGTGCAATATCCTCCAAGTATTCTGTCTAGCCCAGACAAGTCCATGTCTGGCAGAAGTCTAGCTGGTCATTTGAAAAGCCTGTTTCATTGACTTACAGAAGTTCTTAGAGGCATAGCTGTGGTTATTACTGTATTTGGCCCTGTGTGTTGCTGGAAGACACCTTTACTGCCATAGCTGATCCTGTTGATTCTTTTTAGAGTCTGATTGGGTTTGTTTGTTTGTTTGTTTTCCTGATGCAAAATTTTTTTTCTTTTTTTTTTTCTTTTCTTTCTTTTTTTTCTTTCTGTTAAACCAACAGTTCTCACGTGATACTTGGGATGGTAGCTGTAACTAGTTTTATGTCAACTTAAAACAAGCTAGAATCGTTTGGGAAGAGAGGCTCTCGGTTGAGAAATATGCCTCCATCAGATAGGCCTGAAGGCAAGACTGGTGCATTTTCTTAATTAGTGAGTGATGTGGGAGGGCCCGGCCTGTTGTAGGTAGTGTCATCCCTGGGCAGGCAGTTAGGGTTGCATAAGCAGGCTGAGTAAACCTGGTGCATCAAGCTAATAGTCAGTTCTTGGCCTCTGCATCAGCTCCTGCTTCCAGGCTCCAGCCCTGCTTGAGTTCCTGTGCTGACTTCCATTGATGATGTGGTTGAACTGTAAGCTGAAATAAACCCTTTCCTCCCCAGATTGCTTTTGGTCATGTTTTATCACACCATTAGAGACCCCAAGACATTTGTAAACAATTGGAATTTTCCCAAATGACATTTTAAATTACTTGAGATAACTATAAACATCTTTAAAACCATCATCTTGTGGTTATAGTGTTTTGAAATTTCTGGTTGATGCAAAGTTATGTGATTTTATTTCAAGATGTTTTATTTTCTATCTTAAGTTGTATGTATATGTTTGTGTCTGTGTGTGGGTATGTGCAGTTGAGGGCATGTGCTAGAACAGTGTGTCAGATCCCCTGGAGCTGGACTTACAGGCAGTTGTGAGCCACCCATCACGGGCCCTGAGAACCAAACCCAGGTCCTTTACAACAGTATTCACTCTTAGCCATCTCTCTAGCCCCACAAAGTCTGAGAAAAGTAAAGTAAATGAAATTAGACATATCACTGTAATCTCAGCATTTGGGCACTGTAGACAGAAGGATCAGAAATTCGAGATCATCCCGGGGTATGTAGCAAGGTTAAGCCATGTGACCTAGGGCTACATGTGATCCTTTCCCAAAGATAAAAATATATATTGCTAGGTGTGGTGGCACATGCCTTTAAGACCAGAGGCAGAGGCAGGCAGACTTCTATGAGTTTGAGACTAGCTTGATCTACATAGCAAGTTCGAGGCTAGCTAGGACTACACCAGGTGAGACCCTGTCTCAAACAACAAAAACAAAAACCCACGACCCCTGCCCACAGCTCAGGTCCTGTAAATGACATGAGCTGCAGCAGTGAAAACACAAACACTCTGTTTTCATGCCAGTGGCATTGTAATGAATAGTATGGATTTATTTTTGACAAATTTTGCCGTAGTCGTTTCTGTATTAACCGATTCCGGAAGATTCAGGTATAATCGGTACTTCTCAGAGACCTCAATCAATAAGTCAACCTACAAATTAAAAAAATAGATTTTAGAATCATGATGAGAAAACTGCACCCTAAAAGTGATGCCAAGAGACGACTACATTCACCGGTGAAGACTAGTTCCTGCCATAGGACTGGCAGCAAGCAATAACATTGTTGTGGATTCTTGAGCCTCTGATTACTAACAGGACACATCACATGTTAACTGGTAACAGCACCAGAAGCAGAGTGTTGCCATTGGAATATTGTGTTGCTGTCTTCGGATTTACCCTCAGATGGCAAGGGAATGTCCTGGGGCCTGAAAGATAGTGATCCAGGTCGCTTCATAGTGACAATGCCCCGTAGGGAAGCTAGCCCGATAATTCTGAAGGCAAATAAAGTACCCAGCTGATATGTGCCTTTAGTAGTGGGAAATAGAATATTATTAATGTGTGCTTCTTATTGGGTACATTTCATAAAGTATTACAAAGAGGGAGTGGGTACAGACAACTAGTTTATATGCAGCCTCAAAAAATGGAATTAATTCAGAAAAAGTAAAATTAAGAAATGGCCATTAGCTATAATGGCTGATTAAGACAAAGGTTAAGTGGCATTTGTTTAAAGCCTTTTGAGTCAGTTGAGGCAGATGTCAGTCAATCCTAACATTTGGCTAAGATGGAAGCAATTCAGTTTAAAGATATGAAGGTGCCACGATGGAACATGTTATTGTATGCATTAGCCTAAAAATTAATTTAAAAATAAAAAATAAAGTTTAAGCTGGGTGGTGGTGGTGGCTGCGGCGGCGCACGCCTTCAATCCCAGCACTTGGGAGGCAGAGGCAGGCGGATCTCTGCGAGTTCAACGCCATCCTGGTCTACAGAGAGAGTTCCAGGAGAGGCTCCAAAGCTACACAGAGAAGCCCTGTCTCCAAAAACCAAAATAAACAAATAAATAAATAAATGAAGTTTAGAGATGCTAGTCTTGGGAAAGCATTGTGGTCAGAGCAATGACTACAATCAGAGAACCAGTTACAATGGGCTAAAAGGAACTACCTTCAAATTCTAAAGCATCCTGGCCCTCGGCATTCCATAAGCAGGTAACCCACAGAGAAAGACGCTAAGCACTCAAGAATGACATATTCTACCACATTCCTTTTGTATCTATGACCAGTGTGGATGCTGAAACAGGAAAAACTTCCCCCAGATGGAGCTGAATATTGGCCAAACAATGGAGTAGGAAGGTAGGTAGTCAAGGGACATTCTCAAGGGATCTAAACAAGAACATCCTCCACCTCCATGTAGGGCCTTTCACAGGATTTGCTTGCTAGAATTTCAGGATTGCTGTTCCCCAGTAACTAGACTTTTGGGGTCACTTCTGAGGTGAGACTTTTCTATCTCTCACCATATGGTGGGATTCACAATAGATTATTTAACTTGACATGTCATTGGTCTGGTTTAAAAGGAGAACACAGACCAGGCAGTGGTGGCACACTCCTTTAATCCCAGCACTCGGGAGGCAGAGGCAGGCAGATCTCTGAGTTCAAGGCCAGCCTGGTCTACAGAACGAGTTCCACTACAACCAGGGCTACACAGAGAAATCCTGTCTTCAAAAAACAGAGAGAGAGAGAGAGAGAGAGAGAGAGAGAGAGAGAGAGAGAGAGAGAGAGAGAGAGAGAAAGAGAACAGAGAGAGAATAGATCGTGATTAGGGTTGTTTTCCTCAAGGAATGAAGCAAATTGTTTCTGCCAAGACTACAGGACATCCCAATTATTTGCTCCTCTTCTGTAAGGTAAGAGAATCTTATACATCTCTGCAATAAATATATCACTTTTTGTGATTCCCAGGCCTACTGATGTTTTTGCCCTGTGATGTACTTGGGCTGATGGGGTGCAAGTAGAAGAGATACATGCTCCATATACATGGAAGTTTTAGGTCTATTACTTTGGGCAACTATTTCTGTTTCCCCCCACCATGAGAACGGCATATTTCAAGTCTCAGAATGTACAGTTAATGGGGCAGAGCAGGCCTAGTTAGTATGCAGCCTGAGAAAATTACTGTAAGCCTCTGAAACTTAGGAGTTTGTTCCTAGTGCAGCATACTATAGATACAAATTTATTGTATGTACAATTGACCCTTCATCTGAAGGTTCTACATCTGTGGATACAGCCTACCTTGTATTGGAAAAGTAGTTAGGCCTATAGTGATTGCATCTACACTGAGCATGTAGCAGATCTTTTTTCTTCTTCTCATTATTCTGTAACTGGTACAAACAGCTTGGCATCGTTTGGATCTATTTTTTGTCTGTTTGAGACAGGGTCTCTCTACATAGCCCTATCTGTCCTGAAACTTACTATGTAGGCCAGGCTGGCCTCAAAACCGCAGTGGTCTGCCTACCTCTGCCTCCTAAATGCTGGGATTAAATGCACCATCATGCCTGGCTATCGTTGGAGCTTAACTGCTCCCCAAAGCTCTGAGTGCTTCCCCCGCTACAGAAGTGCTATTGGGAGGTACTGTAGCCTTTAGGAGGCAAGACTTAGTGCGAAGTCCTTGGGTCATTCAGGGGACTGAATTGTGGGACCCGGGGCCTTTCCTTTATCTCCTGGCCTTGCTTTGTCTTGATTTCCTGTCCCAATCTGCTTGATCCTTCCAACACAGTCTCAAAACAGTTACCTAAACCAGGCTGGAAGAGCGTGACCCTCCCTAGGAAATGTTTCCTTTAGAGTTGTCTCACCTGTTTTATATTATAGTTGTGCAAAGCTGAGGCACAATCAAATTTACACAGCACTTACACGTTATTCCATGACAGGAGTATCCTCAAGCACATGGAGGAGGTGCAAATGTTACGTGCAAACAATAAAAAACTGGTCATCAGAGGATCTTCTTATCTTCAGAGTTCCTGAAAACAATCCCCCAGCAACACCACAGGACTACCACAGGATCTGCTTAACTTACCTCAGAAACACTAAGCTCACAGAGGGAGACTGAGTTAATCCCAGGTAGCTGGATTTTCAGTTCAATTTTCAGAGGTTTCTCATTCTGATCCTTTACAACCTTTAATTCATAGGCTGGTTTCTTAACCTCCACCTGGATTTCGGAACTCGAAATCTCCTCTATAAGACACCGTCCTTTGCCCGATGCTTGCTTTTTTGTCAGCAGCACCTGAGGAAGGTGATTTGGTTCACTCACAGCACTGCTCCTGATCTTTTCAAGAGTATCTTCTTTATGAAAGAAAAAAAAGGGGGGAGGGGAGTCACAAAATACTATCAGGTTGTGAGCATTAAGATAGGTGGTGTTTACAGACAGTTGCTGAAGCTGCCACTGAATTAGTTTAGAGCCAGGCGATGGTAGTGTATGATTGTAATCCCAGCACTTGGGAGGCAGAGGCAGGTGGATCTCCGTGAGCTCGAGGCCAGCCTGGTCTATAGAGCGAGTTCCAGGACAGCCATGGTGAGTACATAGAGAAACCCTGTCTGGAGAAACTAAAAAAAAAAAAAAAAAAGGAATTAGCTTAGAAATGTAGTTCTAAGCATCTGAAGCAGAGCTGGGCATGCAGCTCACTGAAAGTTGCCTAGCATGTGAGGCTCTGGCTGGATTTGATTCTGGTGAAGTTAAATAGACCCAAACACCCAGAACCTCAAGCCAAATAATTTGCTTGGGAATTCTGCAAGATTTTGACATCTTTCTGGCTACTCTGACATTTCTAATAATGTATATTTTTCTCTCTTTAAGTTTCTCATTCTTTTAAGATAGAGACTTCTGCTTTGAAAAATATACACAGGTTACAAAAGCAAAATCTGACATCAGTTTCTTTTCAGTTTACATCCATCCACTTACCAGTTCTCATTATCTCTTTGAAGCCTGCGAAGTCAGTTTTAATGCCCATCAGATTTTCTTTCATTCTCTGAATGTTTCCTTTAATTTTAAAGCTAGTAACACGGTGTGAATGTGCGAGTGTGAAGTGGAGTCGTTCCTCAATGCAATGAATGGCCATTTTTATTAACTGATCTTTGATGCCTTGGTCTTTCTCTGCTGCTTGCAGAACACCAGGGTTGTAGGCAACATCAATGACTGTATAGGAACCTGTGTGGAATTCAGAAGAGAGCTTGTTTCTATAAGGATTTTTGTCGGGCAGTATACTAACCCACATTAGAAAGTTAGAAACCACAAATCCCATCCCTGTGTTTTTAGAGCACTCACAGCAGCACTATGTTAAACCAGCAGTGGCTGGTCCTGAAGGGAAGCTGACACAAAATTACCAGCAGAAGAAATAGAGTTTATTAGGAGAAAGGGCTTTGAAGTGAGATGAGAGGAAAAGCCTTAGACAAGAACACCGCAGTAGACGGAGATCTAAGTCCAATGGAGCCTTAAAGGGAACTACTGGCTTCCCTTTAAAGCTTGGAGAGGAGCTTCACAGAGTGAGAATGAGAGGTAGTGTGGGAGAGAAGGCTAGCTGCCATAAGAGAGATGGGGGTTCTTCAGAGAGCAGCTGCAGGGCACTTCCATGAGCAGAATCCCCCAAGGACCAATCCAAAGAACAAATGAAAAGGCCGACTTTTTATGATCTTTATGACTTTTTAAGAGTGACAGTAGTGTTCAGTTGGAACCTCCAGCTCACCCCGCATGATCTGAGAAGCCCCATTCTTCTCTCTCTCTCTCTCTCTCTCTCTCTCTCTCTCTCTCTCTCTCTCTCTCTCTTTCTCTCTCTCTCCAAACCCTGCCCATTCAGAGTCTCTGAACAGAGGGAAGGCACCAACAAGCCCAGTTCTGCGTTCTTGGCTGCTTCTGCAGCTTCCTCCCCTGAAGTTGCCGCTGCCCAAGTCCCCACCTAAAGCACTCAGCTTCTGACCACACTTGGGCACAACCCAGCTTGTGGTGGACACATCATCACCCCTTCCCTACAACCTATAAAGTCTCCCTGCTTTTGTTTGTGAAGCTTCTCTAGCCTCGATCTCTGGGACTGGAGAACTCCCCTGGGAGTTGCTTTGCTTAAATAAACCTATTATACTTTTTTGATTCTGCTTGATCTGGCTTTCTGTGTCAGTGGAGAAACCTATGATGGGGGGAGCAGAAACCCTATTAAGTTTCACATCACATAATTTACTTCAGTACATATTCACATAATGTACTTCAATACAGGACATCATGGAAGAGCCAGGTGATCATGAATTGAAAGCTGTCAAGTCATAGAACAGATGGAGTATTTTTATTTTTATTTTATGTGCATTGGTGATTGTGGTGATATTGTGTTCCTCAAAATATTGTGCACCCTAATAAACTTATCTGGGGTCAGAAAACAGAACAGCCACTAGACATAGAGGCCAGAGAATGGTGGCACACACACCTTTGATCCTCTCACTTTGGAGGCAGAGATCTATCCAGATTTCTGTGAGTTTAAAGCCACACTGGAAACAGCCAGGCATGGGCATTCATGCCTTTAATCCCAGGAAGTGAGCCTTTAATCCCAGGAAGTGATGGCAGGAAGTAGAAAGGTATTTAAGGTGTGAGGACGAGATAGCTAGAGGCTGGTTAAGCTTTTAGGCTTTTGAGCAGCAGTTCAGCTGAGATTCATTCTGGATGAGGATTCAGAGGCTTCCAGTCTGAGGAAACAGGATCAGCTGAGGAATTGGCAAGGTGAGGTAGCTGTGGCTGGTTCTGTCTCTCTGATCATTCAGCATTCACCCCAATACCTGGCTCAGGTTTGTTTTTTTTAATAAGAACTTTTAAGATTCGTGCTACAGGTGTTTTGCCGGCATGTATGTCTGTGTGAGGGTGTCAGATCCCCAGGAACTGGAGTTACAGATAGTTGTGAGCTGCTGTGTGGGTGCTGGGAATTGAACCATGGGTCCTCTGAAAGTGCAGCCAGTGCTTTTAATTGCTGAGCCATCTCTCCAGCTCCCAAAGATTGATTTTTTTTTTTGAGATAGGGTTTCTCTGTGTAGTTTTGGTGCCTGTCCTGGAACTCGCTCTGTAGACCAGGCTGGCCTCGAATCCGCAGAGATCCTCCTGCCTCTGTCTCCCCAGTGCTGGGATTAAAAGGCATGAGCCACCACTGCCTAGCTCCAAAGACTGATTCTTAACTCTGTATCAGAGAGAGCTGTGGGAGGCATGGCCTGATTAGCGCTGTAGGATATACAGATGCAGGCTCCTGTTCTAACACATAATATACATTAAATTCCAATTCTATATTGGCATTACTATGTGGGTTGAAAGATCATATTATTAGAAATCATATTAAATATTCACGCAATACACTAATTTGCTATTAATTATATTAACACCAAATGGAATATTTTACTTAAAATGTTTTTATCTGGCTGGGTGGTGGTGGTGCACACCTTTAATCCCAGCACTCGGGAGGCAGAGGCAGGTGGATCTCTGTGAGTTCGAGGTCAGCCTGGTCTACAGAGAGAGTTCCAGGACAGGCACCAAAACTATACAGAGAAACCCTGTCTTGAAAAAAACCAAAAACCAAAAAACAAAAACAAACAAACAAAAAAAAAAACCCAAAAAAAGAAAGAAAGAAAAGAATGTTTTTACCAAGTAAAATCTGGTCTATGAACATGTTCAATAAAAAATTCACACATACTTTCTTTAATCCTTTATACCTGATGCCTCAGAGAAATCTTCTGGTCTGCCAACATGTATAGGTACAGGATGAGTGGCTGATTGGGGAGCCGGGATCCTTTTCCATTGACATAGGTTGATAAAAAGTATTTTTTCTTTTGGTTTCTAGAACGTGAATAATTTTGATATTGTCAAACAGCTTTTTTAAATGAAATTTGATGATAATATCCTGAATGCAAGTAATCACATTTTTTCAGGCCTTCCCACATGCTAGGCAACTGCCCTTGCACACGCACTCTTTTGAACCCATGCACACACATAAAATGTAATAAAAATAGTTTTACAAACTTAATTCATTATATCACTATTTTTCTACAAGAAGGTCTCATTTGGATATTTCTGAAATACCAAGTATGAATTTCTCATTTTTACTCCTTCAGTGAAATCTTCCACACTGTTTCATTTTCTGTTTAGAGAGGCAATTTTAATAAACTTCTCTTGTGTTAAAGTAGCACTTGAGAAGGGTAAGGTATTCTCTAGTTACACTGGAATAGTTTTATTGAGCACCTATCGTCCCTTGCACCAGCTCTACATACTAGAATCTTGGTCTGTAGGCAGAGGTGTGGTTCTGGGTCCGCACAGAGCTCTTTTCCATCCTTCAGCTCCTGCTCGATGAAGTTCTTGTAGCGCTCAGGATCATTTTCAGCCAAGTCATCGAGCATATTCCAGAACTGAGAAATCTGGGTGAGAAGACCCTTTGAGGATGCCTTCATGATTGGTAATGAGATGGGCCTCTAGAACCTGTGGAAAGATATGACTTGAGAAAAGACGTGTCTGTGTGGCTATGGCCTTACTTCCTCTTTCAAGGAAGGAGGAAGGCTTTTGGAATTGTTTTGGGGAAGTTCTCAACTGTTCTTACTTCCTATGTCTAAAAGATTGCACACCCACTCTGCTTTACCTTGACTCTTCTACAGTGTGCAAGTCTAACCACTTCCTAAATTCCCACCACCTTGTACCTGTCCCTTTCTCTGGTCTTCACAAACACAGTGGGAGCAGAAAGGTCCCTTTAAGTCTTGTTTTTCTTGGTGATCTTGTTCAAATAGTTGGATAATGACTGACTTGTGCCTCCCAGTCCTGAAAGAGTGAGGTGTGTGTGTGTGTGTGTGTGTGTGTGTGTGTGTGTGTGTGTGTGTGTTTGTGGTGGGGGGAGGGGAGGGGTGAACGCGGAGAGAAAGAAAGAAACATAGAGCCACATTAATTCTCAATATAGCAGTTAACGGTAGGAACACTGAGCCGGGCAGTGGTGTGCACACCTTTAATCCCAGCACTCGGGGAGACAGAGGCAGGTGGATCTCTGTGAGTTCGAGGCCATCCTGGTCTACAGAGCGAGTTCCAGGGTTACATATTGAGACCCTGTCTCAAAAAACCAGCGTGTGTGTGCGTGTGTGTGTCAGGGGGCGGGGGTGGGGGAGAGGAGTAGGAACACTGGAGCCAGTATGCTTAAGTTCTTTCTAACTCCAGGCAGCTATGTTGAGCAAACAATGTATATATACACTTATTCTACTCAAAATGAAGATGAGGATTAAGAACGCCAATATTGAAAGCTGGAACACTTACAAACTATGAGAGAGTAGTATCCTAAGATCGTATCATCACCCTCCTCCCGAAAACGGAGAAGTGTCCCTGAAGGTCCACAAAATTTTTAAGAAGAGGTTTAGAGTCTTAAAATCATGTATTAAGGTTAGATTTAATAAACAGCGAACGCACAGTTAATCCAAACGCGGGGGAACCCACCTCTTCACTCAGGAGACAAACCGCGACTCCCGTTACCATGGTAACCAGGCCGGGTCCAACATCTAACTGGGTCCGGCGAGTGCAAAGTAGAGCTGCGTCTCAACATCCAGTTCCGGGATCTTTCCTCCGGTGCCGGACAAGCTCCTCCGCGGGGCCGTCCGGCTTCTCTCTCAGAAGAGTGCCGGCTTCCTTCCTGCACCTGTCAGCTTCCCCGGCGACCCGCGAACCCGCTCTGGGGGAGTCCCCGGTGGGAAGGAAGCGTTTCTCGGGAGCACGACTTCCGGCCCGGAAGGAAGCCGCCGCCTTTTCTCCCACCCCGCCACGCGAGGCTGCGGCGCACGGTATGGGTGTGTTTGTGTGTGTTTGTGTGGGGAGGGCGTTTGGAGGGAAGGCTGCCGGGAGCGCCGAGGCCGCGGCGGGGCAGGGAGCCCGCTGACAGACATGGGGGTGTTTTTTCCGACTTCCCCTTGGAAACCTCAAGCTCCCCCCCAGGCACCCTAGACGCTTCCCGGGTCCCAACGGAAGGCCCTACCCACGCCCCGTGTCCCCATTCTGTCCCGGGAGTGAAACCGAGCCGCCGGGCGCCGTCCCAGCCCAGCGAGAGCGGGGCATGCCCGCCCGGGTCCGCCCGCAGGCCGCGTTCCGCGCCTGCGCCCGCTCTGGCCTGGGTCCCGGAGAGAGAGCCGCCGGGCGGGCTCGGCTGGGGGAAGGCAGCCGTAGCCTGGGCCTCGGGTGAGGAGGGCACTGTAACCGGTGGGAAGGCTGCGTTTTCACGAAGGACTCGGGTGAAGCTGCAGAGCTGCCTTTCAGCCCTGACTCCTTGGCTTCCTGGGTCGGAGGAGATCTTGTAATGGAGTGGTTCTTCGTCTCACACTAACAAGATGCCTGATTTCCTCAGGATCGAGGGGTGAGTGAGCATCGGGACGGTGGCACCAAGCCCCTGGTAGCTGCACATGTGAATATCGTTGTTTTCTGGGTTTTGGAAAGGTCCAAACGATGTAGGAAACAAAATGTCCTGAATAGAGATATTTAGGTCATCTAACAAATTTTTTAGAACTCAGTTTTTATTACTGTTGACATATGTGATGTTGATTACCCGCAAATCTAGATGTTTACTTAGCTAATTTTGGGGAGTTTGAGTTTTGATTTCCAACCTAGACACTGACATACAATCCTTTGTCTGGGTCTCTTTGGCCTGGGGGCGAGTTATGACTTTAAGGATCTTTATTTTCAAAATAGGATTGGGGATATAGCCCAAACTCCGAGATCCCCACAGGTTCAAACAACAGCCCACCGAAAATGTTTGGGGAGTCAGGTTGCATCTATACTTACTATGTACAGACCTTCCCCACCACTGTCATTATTTCTAATCTGCATAGTAACGTATTTACGTAAGATTTGCATAGTTTTAGGTGTTACAAGTAATCTAGATTCCCCCCACCCACCCTAAGTGGAAGTGCATGCCTGTTGTCTCTGAACTTAGAAGGTGGAGGATCAAGGCTAGCTGAGGCTAGTTGAGACCCTGTCTCCAAAAAAAGTCATAATTTAAAACACACAGGAGTTTATATGCAAATACTACACTATTCTAAATGATAGACGGGCACCCTAGGATTATTTTGTGTGTGTGCATGTATATGTTAAAGGGGGACGGAATCCTGGTTGGCTATTGTGCTAGGCAAATGCTCTATCATTGAACTATATCCTCAGCCCACCCATGGATTTTGTTACCTTTGGGGGCCCTGGAACGAATCCCCCCATGGATCTTGAGGGACTCCTTGACTCTTAAACATAGAGACTTAGGAGGACTAAATAAAGTGGTGCTCACAGAAGCCACTCTGAGCAGCTTTTTCTGCCGTTGTGAAGACTTTTATCGCGCATTATCCTCTCACCCTTCATTTGCTGCAGTAGCCATCTTAACAGTGAAGGGAATTCTCCCTTAGGTTCTATGTCTTCAGTTCAGTTGTTTTTTCCCTTCACCTTTTCTTTCTTTATAATTTATTATGGGGCTGGAGAGATGATGGCTCAGTGGTTAAGAGCACTGCCTGCTCTTCCAGAGGACCTGGGTTCAATTCCCAGCACCCACATGACAGCTCACAACTGTCTGTAACTCCAGTTCCAGGGGACCTGACACCCATGGCAAAACACCAATGCACATAAAATAAAGTTTTTTTTTTTAAAAAAAAAAAAACAAAAAAAGCTGTTTGTTTAAAAAAAATCTATTACACATTATTGATTCATTTCAGATTAAAGAATGTCACGGGTTCCATTGGGGAAAGTCCTCCTGAGGAATGTCATCCGGCATACAGATGCTCACAATAAGGTAGGTGATACAATCTAGTCATCAACATTTCTTGAGGGCATCCCGCAAACTATGAATTATGTTGGGAGATAGCAAAGATGTATAAGAAACGATTGTAGTTTGAAAAGTAGTATATCATGAAGATAGTTACAAAATGCGTTAGAGCACCCAGGAAGGAATAAAAAAATTTGCCTTGGGAAATTAGAAAGAGTTCACAGAATGAATGGTATTGGAGTTGCTGAAATTTGAACTGGTTCTTGATGAATAGAATTTACTGGATGCATTACTAGACTGAGAGCACCATGCACTAATACAGGCAAATATCAGGGGCTGGTGATGTATCTTAGTGGTAATGTCTCAAATATTATTAAGGACCAGCCTTAACAATCTTCTTCCAGGGGCTCGGAAGAGAGGCTACAAATGGCTAGAATTATTTTCTCGAAATGAACCAAGCTCTTTGTCCATCTACTTTATTCCTCTGGAATAAAATCCTGTCTATACAGCTTCAGTTCTGTTCTCGTGCCTATCTCCTTTCTTGCCTGATTTCTCTCTACCTTATCTGCTGGCCCTTCTAAGTTCTATCTTAATTCTCTCATCGTAGTTCTGCCCCATTTTGGTCTTTCTCATCTTGTTTTTCCCCATCTAGCTCTTCCTCATCTTCCATTTCATTGTTCTAGTTTTCTAGTCAGAGTCTTCTCCAGTCAAAATCCTCAAAAAATCCTCTATGTCTGAGGTTTACAGTTATATACCCATACAATCGCAATGCTCTAGCTAAAGCAAGGCTTGAATTCTTACAGGGTCATAAAGACAGACAAGAGTTTTCCTCAGGTAGTGACCATCAGGCTTTCTTTTACAACCCAAAAGGGGAGTGGTAAAGGAGGTGGTCCACTAAGAGCTAAAATCAGTTAATATATCAGAAAAAGGGAATTTATGTGCTCAAACAACATTTCTAGGTGTGGTTAGGTAAATGTTAGGAGTCTAGAATGTTAGTAAAAATACCACTAAGGCTATATAAGAAAGGAGGGTCTGAGCTTAATGTACCTTAATTGAGGACATTGTTTAGCCTTGAATGCTTGCTAGATATTTCAGATAAAATACACTGTTATGACTTCTTGGAAGTGTACATAGCATACAAGGAAATTATTGCAGGTATCGGCTAATAAGTGTACAAAAGCTAAAATATCACCAAGACTTAAGCCACGGCTTGACCTTCGGAAAAGTCCTTGACTTATCCAAGTAGCAGCTTTTGTGATAGTAGCTGAATTCCATTACGTTTTCCTGTGGCTTGCAGCAGTGATGCCTCATATATGCAAAGTCCTTCATTCCATCCACACCCCTCAAGCATTAATCACTTGGGGCAAGAAATTATATGCATCTAGAAAATAGAAGATATAGGGCTGGTGACAGAAAATAAGGCCCAAGTGGCAAATTAGATTGTTTGTATGAAACTTAGGAGATAAACTTTCTCTTCTGGGCAATAAAGAAGTCTTTTGAGGAGTGGTATCTTACATGTTTCATACTTGTGTTGTTTTACACCTTGAGGGGAGGAGATGGTATGATTGCCATACGTTCAAAGACAAGTGTGTACGTTTAGACAGATGATTTTGTCGGTGTGGTAGGAAATAGGAGACAGAGAGAAGTACTGTGGAGGATGATTAGGTAACTGACGTCCTAGGTGAGTGGTGCTGAGGTTTGGATGGAAGTGTAGCAGGGATGAAGAGGAGCTTGGGCTGATGGGATGGTGGTGACCACCTTCTGTGACTGGGCAGGTGGTAATTAAGAACAAAAGCGACAAGAGGGCAACATGGGAGATGCAGGTAGTTTGGTTCTGAATGAATTTATGATAAGGAACTTGGAGCAAGGAGAGGATTGGAGCAGAATAAAGTTTGGGGATTTAGACAGTCACCTAAGAGTGCACCTCTAATGAAAAGAAGGAAAGGGGGTTGGGGAGTTGGCTCAGTGGTAGAGCGCTTGTCTAGCAAGCGCAAGACCCCGGGTTCGGTCCTCAGCTCTGGAAAAAAAGAAAAAAGAAAAAAGAAAAGAAGGACAAGACCCCTTGTTCAGTTTCCTTCAGCAAACTACTCCTGGCTTGATCGTTACTAATACTGTTACTGTCATATTACTTAGGGTGTTGAGTACTGGGATTGAACCTGGGAGACAGGATCACTAAGCTTGTTATCTAGCTGGCTTTGATCTCACTCCATAGTCCAGGCAGGCCCTGGACTTCTTACTTCGCAGTAGCTGTGATTACAGACCTGTGTGCAGCTGTCACCTGAGTTTCTCACTGTGGGCGCAGGTGTGATAGTTACCCACGCTACCTATATAGTTGGGTTAACTCTACTTGTAGTGGTCTACTTGTATTTGAGAGGGACAGCTAAAAGCAAGATAATTCTGGCATAGGTTTAACCCAGTTGTTCAGGAGGACTTAGAAATAAAATTCACTTATGTTTTTGGCAATTGTCATCTGCTTCTCAGTCAGTTTTCTGGTTACTATGTTGTTGTTGTTTTTTTGTTTTTGTTTTTGTTTTTTTGTTTTTCGAGACAGAGTTTCTCCATGTAGCTTTGCGCCTTTCCTGGAACTCGCTTTGGAGACCAGGCTGGCCTCGACCTCACAGATCCACCTGGCTCTGCCTCCCGAGTGCTGGGATTAAAGGCGTGCGCCACCACCGCCCGGCAACTATGTTGTTTTGTTTCTGACAAGAATTTTTTTTTTTTTCTTTTCCAAACAGGGTTTCTCTGTGTAGCCCAGGCCGTCCTGAAACTCACTCTGTAGACCAGGCTGGCCTCAAATTTACAGAGATCTGCCTGTCTCTGCCTCCCAGGTGCTGGTATTAAAGGTGTGTACCAACCCCACCTGGCCTGACACGAATTTTAATGTGAACCAGGTATGATGGTGCATGCCTGTAATCCCAGCACTTAGGAGACAGAGACAGGAAATTTGCTGAAGTACATGGCTCGCCTGTTCTATGTGGCAAGAAACAGAAAACAAACAAACATAAAGGGGCCGGAGAGATGGCTGCTTTTCCAGAGGACCGGTGTTTGATTCTCAGCTCCTACATGGTAGCTCACAACCATCAGTATCTAGTTCCAGGGAATCTGACATCCTCTTCTGGCCTCTGTGGGTACTGCATGCACAGACAAAACATTCCTTCACATAAAGTAAAATAATACAAGTGTTAAAAAGCAAAACAAGCCAGGTGTGGTGGCACACGCCTTTGATCCCAGCACTTGGGAGGCAGAGGCAAGTGGATCCCTGTGAGTTTGAGGCCAGCCTGGTCTACAGAGTGAGTTCCAGGACAGCCAGGGCAGTTACACAGAGAAACCCTGTCTCGAAGAACCAAAAAAAGCAAAACAAAATGGGTTGGGAGGATGGCACAGGTAAGAGGATTTGCTCTGTAAGCCTGATTGCTGCCCAAGTTTGATCTCGAGAACCCATGTGGAGCCAGATGCAGTGATGAAAGTCTGTAATCCCAGTACTCCTACAGCAGTGGGTAGAGATGGAGGAACTGACCGGAAGCTCAGGGCCAGCGAGTCTGGAGTACATAGTGTAGCAGTAGAAAACAAGAGAGACCCTGACTCAGTAAGTGGAAGTCAGGAACCAGCTTCTGAAAGTTACCTCTGACCCCACGTGTGTGCCCTTTCTCTTTGTCTCTGACTCATACACACAAAGTAAGTAAATAAAAATCTCATCTGTCTACCTATCTATCCATCTGTTCTGTTTTCTTGATGTAAGAAGAGACCGTGCCTAGGGAATTTACACACCTGTCCCTGCTGGGCCTTGCACAAGAGCCTAAAATCTCAGCCATCCAGGAAGCCAGGGCTAGGCTGGAGGGTCACAAGTTGAAGGTCTGCCTAAATCATTTAGATTTTGTCTGAAAACAACAACACAAAATAATCTACTACCAATAAGAACAATAAAAAACAAAACCAAAGAGGCAGGGACTGGGAAGGGGTACCAGGCCAGTGGTACTGCACTGAGAAACAAAACTAAGAAAACCTGTGTTTCACCGGGCGGTGGTGGTGCACGCCTTTAATCTCAGCACTCAGGAGGCAGAGGCAGGTGGATCTCTGAGCTCAAACCCAGCCTGGTCTATAGAACAAGTTCCAGGACAGCTAGAGCTACACAGAGAATCCCTGTCTTGAACCCCCACACGTCCCCAAAAAGAAAGAAAACCCAATTGTTTTTAAAAGGATGTTGGTAAGGTCCCTGAGCTGCTGCTCCTGCTTTGTGAAATATTCTAATGGTGCCTGCTTTGCTTTCCTATAAGATCTCCTGCTGTTGCGATCATGTTGTGTCCCAGAAACACTAGGGCTATTATTTTCTGATTGCAGCAGGATTTTAAATTGATGAGGTGATTAGTGTGTCTATTCAGGGGTTCAAAAACCTCTGTTGCTGCATAATTTTAGATTTACTGCATTAGACTGTTTAGTCACTTTTTGTTGTTGTTTTTCAAGACAGGGTTTCTCTGTGTGGCTTTGGAGCCTGTTCTGGAACTCACTCTGTAGACCAGGCTGGCCTTGAACTCACAGAGATCCACTTGCCTCTGCCTCCCGAGTGCTGGATTAAAGGCGTGCACCACCACTGCCTGGCTGTCACTTTTTAAACTTCTTAGAGAAACCGGAATTTGTTTTCCAGATCATAGCCCAGTCTGTACCCCATAGTTAGGGCAGTTCCTTTTTTGTAATGCAAAGTGCTGTTTTCAGTGACTTATTTTTGTTTCTTTCCTTTTTGAAAACGTCTAGATTCAGGAGGAATCTGACATGTGGAAAATCAGAGAACTAGAGAAGCAAATGGAGGATGCTTACCAGGGGACCAGAAGGAACACAGTACCCAGCAGCTCAAGGTGAAGTGTGCCTCTAAGAACCAAAAATAACTCCTTTTTCAGAAGTTCTAACTTTAGCTTTAAAAATTCTAGTATGTTAAAGATAGATGAATTCAGTTCAGCAAATTAAGCCTTCCTGGTTTCCTAAGTTTAGGTCCAAGCATAACAATGGCCGTGATAACATAACTACACTAGACTAGTTTTTTCCTTTTTTATTTTCCCTGCTCCCCCAAGACAGGGTTTCTCTGTGTAACCCTGGCTGTCCTAGAACTCACACTGTAGACCAGGCTGGCCTCAAATTCAGAGATCTGCCTGCCTCTGCCTGCCGAGTGCTGGGATTAAACCCATGTGCCACCACCACCTGGCTTTCTACACTAATTTTCAATGGAGAATTGAAAAATTCTCCTTGGATTACTGTAAAATTTAGGTTTTATGAATCCCAACTTTGTCTAATGGCTTTTAAGATTTTCTACTGGAGTGTTTTTTCTTTCTTTTTTCTTTTGTCTTATAAAAATTATATTATTTGCTGCACATGATACCTCATACCTTTAATTGTAAGCACTCAAGAGGCAGAGGAAGGTAGATCTCTGTGAGTTCGAGGACAGCCTGGTCTACATCCAGGCTAGCCAAGTTTACAAAGAGAAACCTTGTCTCAAAAAACAAAAACAAAAACAGTTTATTGTGTTGGCAACTTTGTGTTGTTGATGATGTGTGAGTATATATGATGTGCCAAAGTGTACACATGGAAGTGTGAGCACAACTTTCAGGAGTTTCTTCCTATTGTGGGTTCTGGGATTAGAACTCAGGTCATCAGGCTTTCCAGGCAAGCACTTTTAGCGGCTTAGCCCTCTAACAATCCCTGGAGTCTTATAATTAATTTAGTCAGTCATACTGTTCACCCTTTAGTCTATTAGAGCCTTTAAAAAATTATTTTATTCACGTATATGTGTCTCTGTGTCTGTTGGTGTCTGCAGGGGACGGAAGAGAGCATTAGATGCCCTGAAGTTGGGCAGTTGTGAGCTCTTGACATGAGTGCTGGGATTTGAACAAGTATCCTCTGCAAGAGCAAAAAGTGCTCTTAACCACTGCACTAGCTCTCCAGCCCTAGGCTTCTTTTAAAAGCCACATTTACTCACTGTCTTTGCCAGGAGGTCAATGGGCTTTCCTATTTTCTTTGTGCATTTGAGTGTGGCTGGGTATGGTACACACTTTTAATCCCGGCACTGAGGAGGCAGAGGCAGGTGGATCTGAGTTTGAGGTCAGTCTGGTCTACAAAATGAGTTCCAGGACAGGTAGGGCTGTCAGGAAAAAAAAAATTGAGTGTGAATATAAAGGATTATACAGGCTTGACTGTGTTCTATGGGAGGTATAGGATGTATGAATAATTAGGAATATCTCTAGGACCTTATATGCCCTTAAGTTCAGGAAGTAGGTATGTGAGATATGTCATAATCCTGATTTCTTATTTTATTTATTTATTTACTTATTTTTTGTTTTTCAAGACAGGGTTTCTCTGTGTAGCTTTGCACCTTTCCTGGATCTCGCTCTGTAGACCAGGCTGGCCTTGATTTCTAAAACTACCTAGAGAAATCATTAAAAGAAAAAAGAATTGTAAGTGAGTGTGTCTGTAGAGTATATAGACTTTGGTGTATTATTGGCTAAGTATGACCGGTATCAATGTTACATGGTGCAAATTAGTGTTCTCAGCATGTTCCATGAGTTTTGTTTATATTGCTCCATAAAGTAGCATCACAGATTACTTTTAAATCTAAATGTTTGTCTTTTTTCATTTACAGTCGGATGAGAAGTGATGGTTTTGATGAAGAAAGTCAGAGAGACTACTGGAGGCCAAGGAATGAAATTCCTGGGGCCCTGGAAGATGATTTTCTTAAGGCTAAATCCTGGAACAAGAAATTATATGATTATGAATCCAACATGCCAGATAGGTTTGTGACTACATTCTTTTGACCCCTAATGATATTTGGCCAGAGAATATCTATTTCTTGAAACTGCCCTAGGGCTAGAGAGATGGCTCAGTGGTTAAGAGCACTTGCTGCTCTTGCAGGGGACCCATGTTGGTTCCCAACACCTACAAGGCAACTTACAACTGTCCTTAACTCCAGTTTCAGGGGATCTGACACCCTCTTCTGACCTCTGGGCATCAGGCATGCATTTAATGCACATATATACATGCAGGCATGACACTCATACACATAAAATAAATATAAACAATTCTTAAAAACAGATTGTCCCATAAAAGCTTGTAGGTTAGTATGCATAACAGCAGTACTTATAATGGCTAAGAAGTGAAATCCAAATGCTGTGCCTAATGAATGCATAAACAGAATATAGGCTTTCCATATAGGGGAATAGTACTTAGTGGTAAAAGGGAGAAGTACTAATTATACATGCATAACCTTGAAAACCTTAAACATGGTGAAATAAGTCAGATACAAAGGCCACATGCTCTATGATTCTGTTATGTGGTGTGTCCAGAATGGATAATCCATAGAGACAGAAAGATTAAAGGTTGCCTTGGGCTGCAGGCTCAGCACTTAAAAAGGACAACTTTCTTGACATGTGAATCACTTCTCAGTATCTTTAGAATGTTCCAGTGTAGATAACACATTATGAAGTAGTTTGGGAAAATGATTTCACTGATAGAGTTCTTTAGTGTCTCCTCAAGAACAGATACAAGCTTTCAAGTAAACAGTACATCCTGTGTCTGAGATGATAGTATAGAAAGTAGAGTTGTTACCCAGTTATTGTGTGGTTTTACTTTGCCCCTTTTCCTGTGTTCTCTGTGTATGTGTGTGTGTTCATGCAGTCCAAAATCTAATTTTGTTTTAATTTCCAAAATTGATATGCATTGCTTCATAAAAATATATGTATTATGGTGTTTTACAGATGGGGTCACAGTGGTTATAAAGAGTTGTATCCTGAAGAGTTTGAAACAGACAGGTAGGTAAATACACTTACTAGAAACACAAAACCAAACACCTAAGATAAATGCAAAATTGTGCTGTGAGTAGAATTCCTAACATTTAAAAAAAATTAACTTGCCACAGAAAATATAACCAGAACCTGGAATGGTAATGCATGGTTGTAGTCCCAGATGCTCAGGAGCCTGAAGCAGGAGGATGGCTTGAGTCTAGGACTTTGAGGCCAGCCTGGGACATAATGAAGTCTTGTCTCCAAAACAAAGGAAACAAGTGGAATAAGTTGGGAGGCAATCCTATGTGCCTTTCCTGATTGAAGTTTGATGTTCTGTCAGCCTAAGGACTTTCGAAACTAATTGTGCACCATCCTTTGTAGTGAACATGTTCAAAGATGCTTGAAACCGTAGATGTTTTATACCATCTGTCTACCTGCCTATCTTCCATTTCCTATTCTTTTCTTATATACACAATACTTATTAAAATCTTTTTTTCACTTTATGAACGTATCTTACTGCTTCTCGCTGCCATATCCTAATTGTCAGTAACTTGCTTGTGCTATAAATAAGCTATACTAGGCAGTGGATCTGATAACCCAGATAGCTGGTAACTAGCCACAGGGATGATTCAGGTCTGAGGTGGGACACAGTGGAACAGTGAAGAATTTCATCCTGCCATTCAGAATGACATGCAATTAAAGTCTTAGGAACTGTTTCTGGAACTGACCACAGGTGACTAGAAATCAGAGAAAATGAAACTATGTATGAGGGAGCACTGGTATTTAGTATTTTATATGTAACTCAGCATGACAGATCAGGAGTTTGTTTTTTTTGACAGGATTTTCTACAGCTCAAGATGGCCTTGAACTCCTGGCCCTCCTGCCCCTACCTTTTAAACATTGGAATTAGTTATATACCAATATGGTTAGCTCAAATTAGGATTTTTAAAGTTGAGGAAATAAACATTTGTGAGAATAATAAAATAGAAACTTCACAGTAACATTCTCAGAGTGCTCATATTTATTTTTTTTGACAGTCTCTTTTTGTAGTCTGGGGGCCTAGAACTTGCTATGTAGAGCAAGCTGTCTTCAAACTTGGGAAGTCTTGTTTCTGCTTTCTGAGTGCTGGGATTATAGCTGTGCATCACCATACCCAGCTCCAAGTTCTGATTTAAAGTTCCGATGTTAATAATTTAGTGCAGAATATTAAATATAAATGTACCTTTTCTTTCTTCCATAAAAGTTCTGTCTTCACTTTTTCTTAGTAGTGACCAACAAGACATTACCAATGGGAAAAAAACATCTCCCCAGGTAAAAGCATCAGCCCATGAGTCCCGAAAACATAAGAAGTCAAAGAAATCCCATAAAAAGAAGCAGAAAAAACGGTCACACAAAAAACAGAAGAAAAACAAAAAGGCGGCTATGGACACAGCAGCAGATTCCTCAAGTGAGTTCTCTGAAGAAACTGGAGCTTCGAGTACCAGGAAAAGGAAGCAACCACACAAGAGCAAGAAAAAATCCAGGAAAAAGTCTCCTAAAAAACCTTTACCTTTAGGGAGAGAAAGTGCTACTTCCCAGTCAGATGATTCAGCAGCTAGCAGTTCTGAGGAAATGGAGGAAAGAGACACTAAGAAAACCAAAAGGAAAAAGAAAGAGAAAAGTGTTCATGTTCCTGTGGCTAACCCTGAAGTGCAGGAGAGGACAAGCAAGCGCAGGAATTGGAAAGTGGCTACGGATGCAAGATCTGCTGAAAGCTCCGAGGATGACTGAGTGGGAAGGTCGCAGTCCTGCCTCTCACGGACTCTGGTCATCTACAGTTCTGTATAATGGGGGTTGCCAGCGACTCCGACAGCACAGGAGTCGGAGGTCGGAGGTCAGAGTTGGCCTGCCATAGATCCCTTTTTTCCCTCTTGGATTGTTAGTCTCCATCCCCTTTTGTTGTTAATAGGGAATCTGGTATTTTGTTAAGGTTTCTTGAAGAGATTATTTTTTGCAATTAATTTAGGGTAGAATACCTATACAGCAAATTAAAGAACCCAGAAAGCTGAAATCAGAAATAATCTGGGTATACCAATTGGAATGTTGGATTTGGGGGAATCAAGGGTCTGGGATGAAGGAGGATTGAAGTAGTGCTAGATAGAATAGTTTGACAAGGAAACACTTGCTATTTATACAGGAGGTGTCCTGACTTCAGCTTTGGTGCTTTGAGTCTTCTAGAGTTGGGCCCTACAGGTATCTAATTTACTTAGTGAGGAAATGGGTATAAGAACAAACCTTTTCCCTTCATGGTAAGATCCACAGATGACTGAAGGAACATAGGGCTTTCTGCCTCATTTCCCTGCTGGTCAGGGACTGCAGCTACATTTAGTATAACCCAAACATAACAGTAACTGGATAGTAATTGGTTTTCTAGTTCCATTGCTTTATATTGCCTAAAATGGGCTCGTGTTTGAAATTATTTGTTCAGTTGTCCTCTCAAATGGAAAGAATTAGGAAGTAGTCACGTTGCCAATGATGCTTTCAAAGAGGTTCAGGGCAACAGCCATCTAAATGTTTTTTTTCTTTTTCCAAGTTGGGGATTGAATGAAGGCCTTGCACACACTAGGCAAGTGCTCTATCACTGAGCCATACCCCCGTCCTGTCGTTCACTTCTAATTCTATTAATGAGTTTTTGATTTTCCCTGAAACCAGCTGAATCAATTCCAAAATGAAACACACTTCTCAGGGACACACCCACTTCTTCCCAGTCTGACTTTGTGTTACGATTATCAAGAACATATTATTTCTCCCTGCTATACTGTGATCCTGATATTAAAAGAAACCAAAATACCACTGAAAAGTGGCTGGTAGAACAGTTGACTTTTCATTAAGAGGAAAGATAAAGTGACATTGTCAGGGTTTTTGTTTTTGAGGTTGTCACTTTTGGTACTGAGTAGAAAGCACAAAAACTCATACCTAAGACTGTGGGGGTCATGGTTCTGCCACTGATTGAGTTCTACAGCAGGTTAAGTTAACCTCCCTGGCCTTACTTTTTGCATGTGTAATACAAAAATACTTCATGGTTAGCATGACAGACACCAGCAATAGAATACTACTATGCTGACATCCCATGAAGTGGCATTTTATAGTTCTAACTAAATTTGTGCTCTTTATGGAACTTCTAATAAAGTGCTTGTTTTTAAAATACATAGTTGGCCAGATGTGCCCTATCCCTGGATTATGAGCAGGTGCTACCTTTTGGGATACTGAAACACTATTAACTTTGGTACTCAAATGTCAACGTTCCATGGTATGTTTTTTCCTTGGGTTTAGTGGAGGTTTAATGGGAGGAGAGTCTAGTTACTACCTCATAACCTTCTTGAAGCAAGTGAAATCTTTGTTGGAAGTAGTTTTGGGCATGTATTTTTAAAGCAGTTTTGTGCTACAAAAGTACTGATTCTAAGCACAGATGCAGGATGATGGTCCTGCAGAATAAGGCACTTCCAAGAAGTCGGTTCTGTTTGGGTCTTGACCTTACCTTCCTCCCATACTAACAGGCTTTTCTTGTCCCCAAGGAATGCACATTTTGCCTGATTATTTTTTTACCCCCACTCCCAACCATGTTCATCCTTTCTTCGTCATATAAGCAATAAAATTTTTTGTTCTAAACCTTTCTTACCCCTAAATTCCCTTCCATGCTTTAGGCTAAGGCTTTGATGGTTCCTCTAATCCCCTTGAAGATGGCTTAGGGTGACTTCAAAACCTGTGATCTCCCATTTGCACTACCAGCCACGGAACACTTCTTTTTAGTATTCTGTCAATCAGAGATCTCTGTTGATTCCTAAACTAGGACTTAGAAGAAAAAGAATTGGAGACTTCACATTTATTAACTGGTGTGATACAACCTGGAATTATTGAATTCCAATAAATAAAATTTCACTTTTGGACATTTGATCTGTTACTTTTTAGCACCAACAGACTTGGTAACTGCCTGATGCTAACCTTCACGTTGACAACTCTTTCTCCAGTAGCCATTCAATCTGCTTAGTAACAAGTCTTTTGGGTCTTCTGTCATTCTGAGGTTCGGCCTACTGCCCTCCTTTCTGTACGATCTGGGCAAACCGGCCAGTGATGGCAAGAGTAGTGTCAATGAAGCGGTCCACACAGCTAGAGAGGCAGTTTTCAGTGCGGGAGTCTAGCCGATTTCCTGGCTTCTCCACACATTTGTCCCAACATAGTTCCATGAAGTGATGCACCTAAGAGGAGAGAAAAACCTTAATCACTGGGGTCTGTAGATACCTTATTTCTTCTGTGACTTGATAAAAACCACTTTAATAGCATATCCTGGGATCACTTTGGGGTCTACTCTACCTTCTGGTCACCAATAATTCCTCATCCTTATACACAGTAAATTCTCATTAGAACTCATACTTTCATAATTCTCTTTTTCAAGACAGGGTTTCTCTGTGTAGCCAGGGCTGTCCTGGAACTCAGAGATCCGCCTGCCTCTGCCTCCCGAGTGCTGGGATTAAAGGCGTGCACCACCACCGCCCACCCACAATCCTCAAAGCAACTAGCACTATTCTAAAATGGGAAGAAGTCTGGATACTGATTTCTCCAAACTGAGCATAGTTTGGGATTGTATCTAAGGACACGTAGTGGTATTACTTGGAAAGCTAAGTACCAAGTAAGTAGTTTTTCAAAGGATAACTATCAGTATTTTCAAGGTCAGCAACAGTTAACACCCTGGTTTGAAATGCGCCCAAAAACTCCAAACTGTCTCAACCGAGTCTACACTGAGTGTTGCAGCGCTCACCTTTAATAACGATCATCACTTCCAATATCACATGACCCAATGCAGAGAGGCAGCGGGCAACTACGAACCCAGAACTCAAGGTGGGGACCGGTGTCTTCCCTACCGGTCCTTGAACCCCAAGGTCAGAACCTAGTGACTCCGAATGCCACTCCAGACCAGTGGCCGCCTAATATGACCACCATGCTCTTCTGCCGCCCAAACCTTCCCCCCACAACCCGCTTTACACCTCTTTCCTCCCGCGCAGAGCTAGCCTCACGGACACTGAGCGCCGTAGGCCACCAGGCGGGAGGAGCAGCCGGCATCCAGCATCGCGTGGGCCCGCTGTACCGCAGTGTCCGGAGCTCCGTGGGTGCCCGGGGCCTGCGCCTCACCCTCCTTTCCTTGTTCCTCATCCTCGTACCTGCGCAGTGAACTGCGCCTTCTGCTGCTCCGCGGCCACCAGACGCTGTAACTCCGCTTCGTCCGCTTCCCCCAGCTCGGCCATTGTCAAAAGCTTGAGTTCCGCCGCCGGTGTGCGCACGCGCGGTAGCCGCGCGCCGCCTTCCGGCTCACCCTCCGGGCTGCTTTACCCTTCTTCGGCGAGGGGCGGGACTCGCTGCATAACTGTTTCCGGGTTGCTGGGTGACCTTGAGCCCTCCTGAGCGACATGGCGGTTCTCTTAAAGCTCGGTGTCCTCTGCAGTGGCCAAGGAGGCCGAGGTGAGGTGTCTTAGCCAAGAGAGGTCCCTGCTGCGGCCTGGAGCAGGGGGAGGGAAGGAGCGAGGGCTCGACCGCCGGGTGGTGGGGCGTCTGGAGAGGAAGGGACTTCCTCTTCGGCCCCCGGGGCGCCTGGATCTGCGGACGCAGCCCAGACCGCTGTAGCCCAAAGGCCCGAGTGTGTCCCTGGCGGCGGCTCTCCCCGGCTGGTACTTGCAGCCTCTGGGCTGCGGCGGGGCTGCCGGGCTAAGGTGTTTTCACAGCCTCCTGTTTGAGTGTGGGTGGAAGGAATCAGTTTGATAATCTTGTGTTTGGAGACAGCGGCTTTCTGTGTAGTGCCATCGTTCCTCGAGCTAGCCATGTAGACCAGGCTAACCTAGAGCTTGCCAGGAGACTCCTGACTGGTTCCTGAGTGCTGGCCTGACAGCCATGTACCGCCACTCAGGGCTTCGATAATCATCTTAACCAGGCATTTTGGTGATACAAAACGCTTCAGAGGCTGGTATAGAAACACGAATAAAACAATTTCTACCCTCACAGAATTCGGGGGTGCGGAGGGGCGTGGTACAGATAGTGTAAAGCAAAAACCGTTGTGCTATATGGACATTGTTAATATGAGTCCAGAGAAAGTTTGGGGTGATTGTTTTGGAAGGACTAACCTGTCTTCGTTCTGCAGAGAAGTACATTATAGTTAGCAACTGAGCGCAGCAAAAGCAGCGGTAAAGGGAAAGAAAGATGCGCAGTGTGAGATAAAGTGGAACAAATAAAATAATATTTCGAAAGCCAGAGTATGAAGTTAGCCTAGAAAGGCGAAATAGAACGAAATCACAGCATTTATTTATTCTATTCCGAAGTTACACTTTTTCTTTATTGCCCAGGTTGGCAGTAACATTGAACGGCTTGATAGGTTTGCAGTCTAGGTTTATTTTTGTTGTTGTTATTATTTCTTAGGCTGGCCTGAAACTTGCCCTGGCCCAGCCTCCTAAGTAGCTGATGTGCACCACCTTGCCTGGCAGTCTTTTTCTTTTGAATTCAGCGTCTCATGCATGCTAAGTAATTGCCCTTTTGCCAAACTATATGCTCTCAGCCTAACTTACTGTTTAGTAATAGTGTAGTAGATGGCCTTGATGGAAATAGATCAGGTGTAGAGGCAAGTCGTGGAGATGAGATAAGGCACTATTGTGGTAGACCAGGCTGGGGAAGTCCTGAGCGTGGAAGGTACAAGGAAAAGGAGGCAGTCTCAGGAAATGTTAAGGAGACATGTCAGTAGGTTTGGTGACTTCTAGGAGGGAAATCCCTGACTGGCTATTGGCTATTCCTGGATTTCTGGAACAGACCATAGTAAGTATTAAAAACAAGTTCCACGGTTGAATGGTTGGGAAGTACAGATGATTTGGGTACCATTTCACAGAAGCAGGGAAAGAGAAGGAAGAAAGAGCAGGGGCAGCTGAGGTTACCTCCAAAGTTGTAGAATGCTTGCACAAGCCTGTGATTCTAGAGCGTGGAGGTGGGAGGATCAGAAAGTTCAAGGTCAGGGGCAAGGAGAAAGAGTGAGGCAAGTCTCTGAGTTAGAAGCCAGCCTGGTCTGCATAGAGTTCCAAGCCAGCCAGTGCTACAAAGTGATACATACACTCTGTTTCAGAAAACAAACCCCACCTCTGAGAGAGAGAGAGAAACTATTAAGTTATTTTTTTTTTTGTATGCAATTAGCATTCTTGGAGCTCATTAAACCTTTGCATATGTTGCCTGGTTTTGAGCAGTGTTATGAAGTAAACGCAGTTTTTGACTGTGCTGGCTAGTTTTTGCCTACTGGATATAACTTAGAGTCACTTGGAAAGAGAGAATTTAACTGAAGATTTGCCTCCTTCAGATTGACCTTTGGCCATGTCTGTGAGGAACTGTCTTGATTGATAGTTGATGTGAAAGGACTCAGCCTACTTTGGGCAGCACTATCCTAGACACTTGTGCCTGGGCTAGGTAAGGAAGCTAGCTGATTGTGAGCTGGGGAGCAAGCCAGTAAGCAGCACTCCTCTGTGGTTTCTGCTTTGCTTCCTACTTGATTTCTTGCTCTGATTTCCCTCAACGATGGACTGTGACCTGGAAGTGCAAGCTGAAATGAACCCTCTCTTCCCCTAAATTGATTTTGGTCATGGTATTTATCACAGTTACAGAAAGCAAACCAGAACATTCTCCTTCTGCAAATGAAACTGAACCTTAGAGAGCTGTTTGACTTAACTGCTTGTCATCCTGTGGGTAATCTGTGATGTAGCTGGGTAAACATCAGTTTGTCTTTTTAACCAAGAGGTGGGATCAAAAGGGAGGGGTTCGGGAATACACAGTGAGATTTGGTCTTGAAAAGGAAGAGGGCGCTAGGTGAGCTTTCTCAACTAAGTTGAATATCTTGAGGGCAAAGACTTCTGTGCTTATCTTTCTTGCTCCATTGTGAAACACAGTGTTGATTGCAGTTAATACTAGATAACTAGATGAGTAAATGAAGGAACAAGAGACCACCAGGTTTTTAATAAATGAAATCCAAGAGGCCCTTTTACACATGACTCATTAGTAGGAGTCTGCAGATTTTTGTTGTTTTTAAGACAGGGTCTTGTGTCATCCCATGCTGCCCTCCAACTCCATATGAAGGTGAAGGTGACCTTGAACTTCAGCTCCTGTTTCTCATGGGCTGGGGCTATATGTGGTGTTAGAAATAGCCTCATTCATGCAAGTAAACAACTGAGCTACATCCCCAGCACAGACTTCTTTTTTCTTTTTAAAAAAAGGTTTGGGACTGGAGAGATGGTTCATCGGTTAGGAGCACTGACTCCTTTTCCAGAGAACCTGCCTTCTCCTCCCAGCACCCATATGGTGGCTCATAACTGTAACTCTAGCTCTAGGGGAGGTGTGTAACGCCACTTATGGGGAAGGATGTCTGTGGGCACCAGACATGTACATGGTACACAGACATACATGTAAGTAAGACACTCATACGTGTAAAAATAAATCCTTTAAATAAAGTTTGTCCTTTAAAGAAGTAAGTCCTTTTTAAAAAAAGTTTGAGTGGCATGCTCATGGTAGTTTAGGAAGCCTGTCGGTCCTGCCAGGAAGTGCTCACGCTCTCTGTCTTTCTTTCTCAGCTCTGTTACTCCGAAGCCGGGTGGTGAAACCTGCTTCTGTCTCAGCATTTCTCCAGGACCAGCCTACCCCAGGATGGCACGGCACACAGCACGTTCACCTGTCGCCAAGGCACCACTGTAGGTCCTCTCTGTCGACGCTCTGTGAACAGTTTCATTTACTGTTTTAGGTGTAGGGTCTTCTGCCTGCGTGGGTGTTGGATTCCGGGCACTGGAGTTCAGACAGCTGTGGACTGTCACTGGTGCTTCAGCCATCTTCACCTGGGCTGACCGTCACACATTTGGCGGGCCTCGGTGTCTCTCCGGGA